ATGTTTAAAAGATATCACACTAGTTAAAATCCCATTTACCCTTATTTGAAAGGATTTACAAGAGCCATATATTTCAATTCTTATGGGGCGTCCGTGGCCGAGTGGTTAAGGTCGTTGACTTCAAATCACTTGCCCCTCACCTCTGTGGGTTCGAATCCCGACAGGGACTTTGGATTCTTTCATGTGAGGAAGCTATCCAGCTAGCTTACGGAACGTCAGTGGTTCTACTCAGGTACCCGTTCGTGCCTGAAATAATGCACGGAAGGGCACCTGAGGTCTTCCTCCACCAGTAAAGCTGGAACGTCGCGATATGACCTATACTGTGTCGATGTGACGTAAAACCCAAAACAAACAAAACAAAATTTCAATTCTTATAACTTTGTATTGATAAGAGGAAATAACCGCTACGCGAAGTGTAGTGTCAATTTCCACCGCAGTGATCTCCCTTGGGATAAAAAAAAACAACATTTTCGTCGATATGATTATTTTCAATTTTGATATTTATTTTAAAAAGTAAACATTGTTTTGCTAATGTTCCAAGACCGTTAGTTCGAAATATTAATTTCTCTCAATTACTGAATTTAAGTGTGCTTCAAAATTAAAAGTGAACGTTGTGAACTGTTTATATTTGCATAACAAGTGTGATAATAATTATCTAACATCCTTTGTTTAATTTCTAAAAATGTAGAATTACCATTCTCTTGATTTATCTATACATTTGAAAGTCCTCGGTTGTTTAACATTATTTATATTTTCTGAAAAGCCCAATTATTGGCATCGTTCTTACGCACGACATAATTTTATTTTTTCAAAGAGTTGTCTGATCCAATATCTTATCAAACTTATTTTTCTACAAATAATAATAGGAACTTTCGTTTTTCTCCGTAGTTATGGATGAAATGACTTTAATTTCCATGAACATATATCATATTGAGGTAAACCATTTTAAATATGCAAGAAAAAATATCTGACATATGTTTGCGGGAACCCGCCCATGTGGGCGGTAACTCGGCAAGCCTCCTAACCGCCCAATGGGCGGGCCCCTCGGGACAGATATTCCGGTCCGAACCGCAACATATGACAGATATTATTAATCTATGCAGATATGATTAATGCATTCAAATAAATTCATTGGCAAAACTGTCAATGTTATTATAGACGTTGACACAGCTTGTATGCAGCAAGTTACATTGTATATTAAAGATATGGCAGGCAAATATTGAACAATAATTATATTTATCACATAAGTGTAATAAAGCCATTTAATAATCAAAGCACAGAAGGCGCTGAATTTGTTTGGGTCTCAGAATGTCAGAAAGGTGAAGGTTGTGAGATTATACCCCAATTTGTTTTTGTATAGTGCCACCAATGCTTTCCAGTGTTTTAGCTGAAGAAAACTGGATATAAGACTAATTGCAAAAGTGATATTCAATTCAATGTTTATTTGACTTAAACAATTGAAAAAAAATTGAGTTGCTTTATCTGGGATTTGAACTCCAGACCTCTCGATTTCTAAGAGAGCGTGCAAACCCCTCGGCCACAGTGAAATTATACTTAAACGGCCTGAAGAAAACCATATCATTCTAAATTAGAGTTTGTAACATTTATTATTTCGACGCTAAACCTGTTGTTTAACACACATGTAAATAATCATGGAGCATACTATAAGCATGTATATCTATAAAGAATAAAACAATACTTAGTATTAGAAATCCTCGACCATTTGAGAACTATTTTGCTTGAAAATTAATGCGCCTGTCATTTGACATATAATGACATGTCATCTTTACGCAGTGATCTCCCCTGAATTTTTCGGCGTTAGTGTACATATAAAGGGAAGTAACCGCTTCAAAAAAGCGGACTACTTTCGGCATTTGCAATAAACAGCATCAGGGTCTGACATTTCGCTACCATTTTATGTTTGGTCTGACGACCCAAACAAATAAAAACGATATTATTAACCCTTAAAGTGCTGGACCCGAAAGTGTTAAGCCTTTACCGCCAGTATAGAGCCAGGCCAGCCTGCACTTCCATGCAGTCTGACCAGACTCTATACTGTTAGCTGACAAATTTTAAATATTCAAATTGATATCCCTAAAATTGATAATGGACAGTCCAAAAAATGGAAGTAGGACAAGTCCATTTAAAATAGTCAGCATGTTGAGGGTTAAAGCGCGCTAATGTTAGCGTTACACTATAGGCGCGTCATTAAAAAATTGCTCATTTTAACATTTTACTGTTCGTATCTTATATATGTGATAAATAGAATATTATATTCGTTTAGATTCAATACTAAATTTATTGAACTCGTTGAATAAAACAATATTATGCTCGCCAGAGGCTCGCATAATATGATTTTGTTAAACTCGTTCAATAAATTTAGTATTAAACTACACTCATTCAATATCCTCTATTTATATTTGTATCATAGTTTGGAGACCTTTCTGTTGAAAATGTGTCAGGGTGAAATCGTATACATATACATGAACAGTGCGTTAACTGGAGTGCGGGTATTAGTTACCCGCACTCCAGAGCATGCCCATTGATTGGCTCATTTTTGCTGGGGTTTACATATTGTGACGGCAGAGAAAGGGAAAGCGACAGAAATGTCATATTCAGATGTTCGTTCATTGGTTCATTTTTGCCGGGGTTTCATATTGCGACAACAGGGAACGTGCTACTATGTTTGACTATGATACAAAAGAGAAAGAACACCAAAACACTCGGCAATCTGATTAATACTCGGGGGCTACGCCCCCTCGTACAAATCAGATAGCCTCGTGTTTCGGTGCTCTTTCTATTACTATGATCGAAATTGGGATTTACAAATGAATTCTATGTAAAATTGTCTAGTAAGATATGTTTGTAAATGACTGATTTTATGTCATTTTTTTCAGCGTAAGTTATGGCTATTTAGTAGGTTCAAGTTTATTAGTGTTTGAAATTATTTTTGTCCAATAGGATTGCAGTATTTCAAATGAATCGTAACTTGTCAAAGGATGTGTATATAGGCCAATTCTTGTTATCGTAATTAGAAGATTATTATAATGCATGTTTGACCGTTCCATTTCCGTACTACCAACATAATTTCACTAACTTTAAGTTGTTATGCTGTTAACTTCAGGCTGCATAGTTAGTACCGATCATATATCTTTTTCAGCGTCCTATTGGTAAAGTTTACATATTTATATATATCATATTTGCTTGAAATAACCCTAGAAATTGATAACAAACCATTTTCGACAATATCAGTATATCTAGTATCACTTACTTTAGGGTTCTATAGGTTGCTGGGCTTCAAACCTCGGGCTGCTAGGCAACTGCACTGACATGCCCCTCAATGACATAATAGTATCTTTATTCCCGATCAGAGACAGACTTTTGTTATTCAAGCTTATTTCAAGCAAATAGCCTTGATGTTGTAGCAAAATAACAGACAAAACATTATAATATCATTTATTTTATACGACAAATAAACATATGGACGGAACATATGTAATTTTCTCTGTAAACAAATTTGTTTTGTTGTTTGTTTGGGGTGGGGTTTTTTTTGACAACTAATTTGTATAAAATCTAGGAAAATCACAATTATATAAACATTATCCGAGGCCATGCTTTAAATATTTGATACAATACATTAAATTTCAAACATAATATAAAAATAACTTTTTTCTACTATGCCGAATTTCATATTTTTTACATCAAAGTGTAAGATATCGGATATATATAATAGTGCACATATTTCCAAAAGGGAATTTAAGTGTTTTACTCGCCAAATTAGAAAGTATTGAAAATCTGATGCAATAATTTACCTTATGTCTTTGGTGAGGTTAGGCGAGGGGTGCGCTGTGACGTTTAGATGAATAAAACTTACAAACCATCAACTTACAAATTTAATGAAAAAAAAATCTATACGTATTCACATGGCTTGGCTCTGATGGATTAAGCCATGTATCCATCCGCGTTGAAGCAGCTCGATGGAATGCGGTTCTGTTCATTGTAGGAACTACTTGCAGCTTTTAGCAGGACTGTCAATCTATACGACACGCAATTATTTCAAGTCATTTCAAGCAAGAAATTTTTCTTCATTAGTTAGACAGATAGACCTTTAGCACATGATGCCTACCCAGCAAATGACCACGACGTCATCAACTACATAGTAAATGACAAAACCAACATAATGGGTTTGCGACCAGCATGGATCCTGATCAGACTGCGCGGATGCGCATCCGCGCAGTCTGATCAGGATCCATGCTGTTAGCTATCAGTTTCTCGTCTTGTTATATGGTTCATAAGCGAACCGCATGGATCCTGATCAGACTGCGCGGATGCGCAGGCTCGTCTGTATCCATGCTGGTCGCAAACCCATTATGTTGGTTTTGTCATGACGCGACTCAAATAAACAACGGCGTGTGTAGAATAGACCATAGTGACCATTTTATTTTACGTGCAGTTTTTTTTTTCAAAGAAATGTTTATTTCTCTCAAATATTTTGCAAGAACATGCTGAGCTATTTATGTATTTACAATCATGGTAATGTTCACATCATTTTTAAATAAACGTCTAAGACTGGAACGTCCCGCTGGCATGACAGGAAGCAAGCTTTAACCCTTTAACATGCTTATATCAAATACAAAATATTATACATATGTACATATATAATATTTTGTATTTGATATTAGCATGTTAAAGGGTTAAAGCTTGCTATATACTATATGGGTTACCAACAGTTCCGAACCTTTTCAGGCAGCACAATAGAACACTGATGTACAGACTGACATGCGGCGAACTGTCGCTCTGATTGACGGGGTCGAAAAAATGCAGTAGCACGACATTCGCTATTAATTTATTAAAGAGCTTAAAATATGCAGCTAGCTACATTGTCATATTAACTTTCTTAAACTTTACAAAGTACTACATACGCATATAACCGCTGCATTTCTTCTTTTTTGAGTGGCGTGCAAAATACACGAAGCTCGCACGACATTCAGCACGCCATGTGGCCAATTATTAACAACTATATTACATCTTGGATATATTTGCTACAGTTAATTAAAGATATTATTGATCTTTGAAAAGTACTGTTAGGAGCTTGTTGTGTATTGAATATCAATCTGCACTTTTATTAAGTATAGTTTTATTGGTTAACTTTTGATATAGGCGTGCCTTTGTGCGTGTGTTTGTGTGTGTTCGTGTGTGCATGCGCGTGCGTGTGTGTTTGGGAGCAGCTTAAATACACGATCACAATCGTTCTCTTCCTCTTATTTTGCTACTTCACTTGGAGAAATAAGATAAAATACAGGCCTAGGATATGAAGACTACTTTAGGATTCTTGTTGGTAAGATTAATTTATTTTCAAGTATATTTGTTTTAACATTTATAACATTAATAATATGGAGATTATGTCTTATTTTAACAATTTATATTAATAATAATAAGGTTCTTTAAGGATTCTTATTTTCTCTATTTTATCATTGAACTTAGACATTTTGTAAATGATGAATTAAATTAAATACTTTTGTGACACTAAACAATTGTATTGCAAAGACATGTTACATATTGTCGAAAGCTTTGTAGGCTGATTGTCATTAGTACAAAATGTCGTCTGCATAGTATTTTAATTTTATTCTGAGACTTATCATAAGTTCCAGTTTTATTTAAATTTCTTTAAAGCTGCATGCCTCCATGATGAGCCAAAACATTTCAAGAAAATCAAACTTAAGAAAATGTTCTAAGAATTTAAGAAAAGAAAATTATTCAAGAGTCAAGTTATGTATGTTATGTGGGATTAATGACCGATTCTGCAATGATACTGCGCGATTAATTTTTGCATATTTTTACATCTTTTTGTAATTTACTTATATCGTATGTGCAGTTTGCAATGTGTAAATAACGTACTTTGTTTATTTCACAATATTTTACTTTAAAATACATTTTCAAAATTTTCATGAAAATTAGCATTTATCTAAGGGGCATGCTGCTTTAAGTGAAAACAATTTAGGATGACTGTAAATTGCTTACAATAAGGTCTTCAGATGTCTCTGAAGAAATTCTTCGAGAGTTTATAAGAAATGACATTACGAACGAGTTTATTTAATGCAAATTTTGACTGATTCTTACTGACATTTTTTTCTTCTCCGCTACTAACGAAGGAATGACTTTTGGTTTGGCTGGCTAGATCTCCCTGTTGTCAACTGGGCAATCTGGTTTTACAAAAGTTTATTTTAGAAAAAAAAACAACAGCAAACAAAATGTCAGGCAAAAAAAGCGAATATGCAGCAATGCAAAATACGATAATGCAACAGTGCAATAAAGCGGATGAGTTACATGCAAAAAACGAAAATGTCGCGATGTGAAAAAAATGATAAAGTCCAACTTTGTCTTATCTCTGTGTCTAAACATTGTTGCATTCTTGAGTCGGAAAAGAGAAAAGACAACAAAATTATGGGGGAAAAACACACACACACAAACAAGGTGTTGTGTTTAGCGTTAAAACTGTTGCATCTTTACTTTTTGTGATGAGAGTGCAACAATGTGAATACAATATCCAGTTACAATTATAATCAATAAACTGTTTATATTTGAGGTAATTATTTCATATACTGTGGTATATGACATATGTGTAACATGCAATGTGGTTAAACTAAATTATTTTTCATGAAACTGAAAGCGATCTGCCATTAATAAAGGAGAAATTTATTTCAGATTTCACTATGCGTAGTAATGTTAACTGCTAGTCGTCAATTAATATGTTCACACGATGATGTAAGTAATTATTGAAATTATCTAAATCTAAATTGTTATTTGACACATTTCGATTGATATCACATCGGTTGAAACTATTTTATGACTACATGTAAAATTGTGCAAAATGTTTAAAAATAAAGTATTGCTTTGAATTATCGTGATAAAACATTAACGAGCCGCGCCATGACAAAACCAACATAGTGCGTTTGCGACCATCATGGAATCAGACCAGTCTGATCAGGAACCGTGCTGTCCGCTATCCGTTTCTCTTCTTGTAGATGTAATTTGGTTGGTTTTGTCATGGCGCAGCTCATTTATACTTGAACTCTTGGATGCATCTATTCACAATGTAATTATATGAGTAGCATTGGTCAACATCTTTAAATTTCTATTTTAAAATGTGAATGTGGTTTTAAATTGAAGACTAACTGAAATTTATTCAATATTTTATTTAAAATATTATGATAATAGGACTGCGAGTCTGACCAGTTATGCCGAATGATCCGTGAATGTGAAATACCCAAAAAATGTTTTCCGGGTAAGAAATTATGTTTGCTTACTTACATAATTGAAGAAGGTTACTATCTAGATCTAGTAATAAATGATGGAATAAAATACATTCAACAAGTGTTATTATCAATTTTACAGTTTTATCTTGATGGATATTTAACTTAAAACATTGTAAAAATGATAAATATATGTTACATTATGCTGGTATTATAAACCACTTTACAACTTAACCATTATGTTTTCTTTAGCGACAAATATTGGAAGTAGGTGTACAAGAAATTCCGACTGCTGGGATACAGATCCAATGTTTCCATGTGATGGTACTCGTTGTCGGTGTCAGGACAGGGTATGCACATGTGGAGAGTGTTTCACTGAAGTAGATCAACGTTGCGAACTAAATCAATCACGTGAGTTTATATATGTTATCTTTTAATTCGTTTATAAGTAAGTAAACTTGAATAAAAGATAAACTGATGTCTAAAATAGTAGAACTGATTGTTTTATTAAACAATATATATAATTTAAATAAGATCGAGGTAGCAGCAGTAAAAAGAAACAACGAAGATATACTAAAACAAACAAGAAAACTTATCCACACTATACAAGTATATCTATATTTACATAAATTTACATAATTATTGCAGAAGCAGGACGTACAGGAACCTCATTTCATACAGGGTATGAGTTCTCATTACAAACTGACTATGGCACCCAAAATTTGTATATTTTGAGTCCGAATGCAAACGTTAACATTACCGTTCCGTTTTTATCGATACTTGATGAACCACATGAGGTTATAAATTCAAAAGTTATCGAATTTCCCCCCACCCTTCAAGTGCAATCGGATGGAGTCCCTTCAAATAAAACCGTTTTCATAAAATCAGATACTCCAGTAACTGTCTACTGGCTAAATTATAAGAACGTTTCTGCGGATGGGGGACGCGTCTTATCGGACGAAGAGTTAGGAAAAGAATACATATTACCAAGTGGCCGACCTGGAAACACCAGACCAGACAGATTTGAGCAGTTTCTTATAGTAGCCTTACAAGATGGTACATCTGTACAAATTGAATATCCTGGCGGTTCTCAAGAAACTATTTCATTAGACGCAATGGAAGCTTTCAGAAAAAAAGGTACCGAATTTTCAGGCACCATTGTCACGTCAAACGAACTGATTGCTGTAAAGTCAGGTCATGAATGTTTTGTAGCTGATGGTGGACGTTGCGACCTTATGTCAGAACAAATTCCTCCAGTATCTTCTCTAGGTTGTATTCACATAATAGGATACATGAAGCCGTTCCTAACATCGTTCGTGAGAATTACTGTTCCTTTCGACGAAACAGATGTAACCATTTATGATGAGAATGGTACCGTGATTCAGAGCCTTGTAGGATTGTCCCGTGGTGACACCTTTATTACAAACTATTCAAATGTCGCATTATCAGTAATATCAACGGAAAGAGTTCTCGTTATCCAGTATGGGGATGATTATGAATTAAATCCTCCCCGAGAGTCTTCTATGATGCAGATCTTGTCAATTGACCGCTATGTTTCGACATATGACTTTTACGTCCCGGAAAATTTCGAGCAGGCCATATTAGAGATAATTATTGAATCCAGTTTAGACCATACTGGATTATTATTGGATGGCATGATGCTGATTGTAACAGAAATCGTCTCGGCAACACTACCTTGTTATGGAACGTATGATATAATCTACTCAAACGTTACTGTTGGAAGCCATACGCTAACCCATGCAGATGATGCCGTTTATACAGCATTTGTGTATGCAAGAAGAAGTGTGAGGGCTGAATATGCAATGGTGCTATAGAAATCGAAATTTGGTAACCGGATCGGAACTGACCTATGCGAAATCCTTTTAGTTATATGTATTATAGGGCTTAATGACAGCGGATGTTTTTTTTATATTTGACTTACCATTGTTACCATTATATATTGATCGTATTTTGATAAGTGGGTTAATGTCATATCTTGTCTTGTTGTTTGTTTTTTATTTATAATATTCATTTCATCCATTCTATCACTCATAGTAGGCCTACATGCATTGTTTGTTCAATCATATTTCATTCCAGTGGGAACTTTATAACTCTTAAACGGTTTGTTTACAAATTTATTTGGGATATTAACACAATAAAGGATCAGAAATAGTATTATGATTTGGTGTTGACTTCATGGCAAACCTGTTACAAATAATTCCACTGAAAAGTCAGACCTTATATCATCTAGTGTGTTTCTGTATACAAATAATAAAAAAAACTGACAAACATTTAACCCGAGAAAGTTATATTTGATAATATCAAAGTGAAAATTGTTCACACTTTTAAAAGACAAAAAAAAGCAAACAAATATCCTATATATATATTTTCCCCATGATGAAGGAACAAGTCCATATTTATCACATACCCGTGCCGCTTTTGCGACTCCGTAAAATGTTTTTGCACGGCCATGAATATTTTTTGACGTGATGTGATTTGCATATATCATTTGCGTATACACATGTATATAAAAACATACTGTAAAGATGCGCTAAATGTTAGGCGTTGAAAAAAAATATTCTTTCTCACATGTTGGTAGGTGATATTTAGAATTTTATATTCGTGTAGGTTCATTACTGATTACTTACACTCATATCCAATATCCTCTATTTATAACATGTACGAAGATTTAATATTTGAACGAGTTAAATAAAGTTATATTGGAGCCTATGATTGGAACATTATTATTCAATGAATTTAGTATTGAATCTTCACGAATATAATATTCTATTTACCACACATCAAAAAAAAGTTGTCACGTGACTATAGTGGGTAAACATACTTGTAAATAATAAGAGTGCACCACATTAATTACTAATAAGCCCAAGAATCAGATAGCATTGCAAAGCTATCTCTAAGTTGTAATTATCCTTAAATAATGTTCAGTTTGTTATTCAATACAGTAAATGTAATTTTAGCTGGCGTTCGATATCAAGTGTAAATAACAAAAAAAAAACCTAGTTTCTTTTAGTTGAGGATTGAAATCAATAAAAAGTTATTTTTACATTAAAGCAGCACGTCCCCAGATTCATTTAAATTTTCATGAAAATTTCCGAAATGTATTTCAAAGTTAAATAGTGTGAGATAAACAAATAAAGTAATTTACATATTGCAATCGGCCCCTACAATTCACGAAAATTAACTAAAAATTGGTCAAAATATGCAAAAACAGCCCTTACTGCGTTAGTAACGCAGTAGAAATATGGTGATAAAATACTACAAAATCAGTCTTAAACCGCACATAACATGTAAAATATAACTTGGATCTTGAATGTTTTATCTTTCTTAAAAGTTAAGTGCATTTTTCTCAATATTGATTTTCTTCAAATAGTTCGGATCATCTGGTGGCGTGCAGCTTTAAAGGAAAAGACAGAGCTTGTGATAAAGGGTTTGTTTTTTTACTTGAAGGCTACATATGGTTGATACAAATGAACATCAAGCATTTGCTTGGAAAACTGTAAAACACATTACAGGGACAATTCATAGGAATATCACAGCTACAACATGAGTGTAGGGAAAATATGCTGAATGTCACTCAATTTGGAGTTGAAAAAGTTAAAGTCAACCAAATCAAACATGTTTAAGCAAATTATTTTCCACAAAAGATCTGTTAACATTGACTACAATACCACATCGACAAGAAATATGACATAAAAAGATGACAAGAAAGGTAAGTCATATACTAGTAATAACTTGTACAAAACAGGTTTAATGGTTACATAAGAAAAAAAATTGTGGTTGTTTAGCAGCATCTCCTGGTGTAACATTCATTGAAAAATAACTTTGCTGAAATACCCAGATAAGTACAGAAACGACACTGTATGTGTGTTGCTTTATGTTTGGACAAAAGAGACAGCCAGGATTTTAATGACATTAGCTCATAAACTATAACTATGGTCAGATACTTATATCTAAAGAACTTATAACAAAAATATGTTTTAAACTTTCTGACCAGGGAAGGTGGCATTTTCTAAGTTCTGTAAATATGTATATCAGCACAAACACCTAACTTCAATAATTATATTTTTGAGATATAAAATCTTAACGGTAGAATAATTATGTAACTTCCCACAGCTATTGTGTGGATACATTTCTTATATGTTCAGTGATATTCATCTTAGACCAACTAATTGCACTTCGCGTTGAGATATTGTGCTATTTTGTGTATGGGCAATATCTCCCCATTCAGCGAGCTTCTGACCAGAACAAATAAATACTACAGAACATCAACATATTTTGACTATATACATATACCAGTACCGTTGGCCTAGTGATTAAAGCGTCAGCCTTCGGATCGTGAGGTCGAAGGTTCGAGCCCCACCGGGAGCGATAATTTAGGCAGGGACTCGTTCCGAAATGGCCGCTTCGTGAGCCGCGAGGTAGTTAAAATGAATGGTTAGTGCGATTTCTATCCGCCTGGCATAGCGGTAGGAGTTGGCAGGTACATGGTATGCAAGCAAAAGGTGTCTCATAAGTCAGAAATGGCTGGCCCTTTCAGTAGGGGTGACACTATAATAAACAAGACGTTTACCTTTTATATATAATGGGTTAGTAAGAACAAAGGAAAAGTTCCAAACCATGCGACAAGTGATTATATAGACATAATGGCATTCTGATAACTGCTATAGATGCGTAAATACATGTATTTGTTACATAAACGGCAAGTTTATCGTATTGTAGATACTTTATGTGAGCGTTTTCAATCCAAAAATACATACAATGTATATCAGAATTTCATTTCTGTATAAAATTATCTTTTTACATAGTGTCTATGTAAAAAGTATTGACTAATGGGGAAAAAAGCAACATGACATTCTATATAATCTTTATTTTAGTCTCATCTATGCATAACAACATAAAACAATTCATTTGCATTATTTTACAAAATAAAAGTTGTTTGTGTACGGCCATTCTATTTAGAATTACAAGAGACTGTAAAAGTAACAATGTAAGAGAGGCAACTCTGCAAAATTTTCAAATATAACTTACAGAGTTACCTCTCTTCTCATACCTTATTCTTATGCATATAACAATTAAAATATAAAGAAACTATTGCTAATCTTGTTCTAAAAGAATTTCTGGTACACTTGCTTTACATGATATTTATGATATACAAGGGAAAGCTATACAGGCATTCATTACCCGGCGTTGCTGGGACCGCCCAAGCATTTATTTTAGTATAATTGTGAAGGAAGCTATAAGTTTATACACACTTTCGAATCTGTTCCTGGAACCAACCAGTAATAAGCAATGAGTGTAAAGTTTCTTGCCAAAGGAAACAACGACTTGCCCCTTACGAGGTTTGAATTCATGCAGCTAGCGATCATTAGATTACTAGTCCCGATGATCCGTTAAACACTCGGCCATGCCGCCCAGCATTGAGTTCGGCCTTCACTAAGACCTCAAGATATAATAATAGCTATGAGGCATAATAATATCAACATTGTCGTCTGCTGTCTATTACGTCGTTTAACTAAAGTATATAGTACTACAGAATACTGCCTTAGCCGGTGCTAGGGTGCAGGAAATGTGTTGGCTTTTATATTATCCTGACTAAACTTCTTACTGATTAAATGTTGGTTAACGCAGGTTGCTTGGGATACTCTTTTTTAATAGCATTTTTTAAATTCATTTCTTAATTTAAAAACAAAAATATAGTAAAATCATCTTTAACTGGAAACTTTTTCTTTTTGGTGGAATTCAGCGATTCATATTTAAGAAAATGTATGATAATGAAATTATAATTCTGAAAGTAATCATTTTTTATCAAATGATATGACACTTTGTTTTATTTTTAACAAATAAAAGATTTTCTGGAAACAATATGAAATTATTTTCGTTTCGAACAATACAATACATTAATTAATGTACAAATGTACTGAAACCTGACCCAGTTTGTTTCTTGTGTTTCATAATTTCAATTCTTTTTATTATCTTTAACAAATGCATATTTATATCTAGGCATAATAAAATTTTATTAACTAATTCTTATTCAGAGAACGTCAATCAACTTCAAAATGCTGAATGAAATTTTCTATTACCCATTAATAACAAATTTAGAAAAGGAGTGTAATTGGCGCGCAGCTGTTCCACCCGCAATCAGCTATTCTACTCGCAGCAGGTTAACGGGGGTGATTTGGGAACCTAGTTTGTTTGTCGTAAAATTCTGGATCACCAAGTAAAAATGAAGAACAAATATGATGTCCAATCAAAAGGTATTATATTAAAATATTGATATTCAAAATAAATTTATCGATATCTATGTGAATAAAAACCAGCGTGTTGTTTTTGCTTTTTACCATATCGCCGCGCTGACGATTCGTCCCATAACGACTCGCCCCACTTTAAGCCCCTTGTAGGTCTCTGCAGTGGTGGTGGGTAGGGGGTTCAGGTGGCAAAAAAACACGATAATTTCACGGAAGGATTTGCCCCCCCCCCCGTCCAAAAAAAAGAATAATAAAAAAGAAAAAAAAGAGATGTTTGGTAAGTAACCATGATTTGTATCATCCTGGGTACAAAAAGTCGGGCAAGATCAGTGATAATCTTTCATTATAAGTAGTTGACAGGTTGATCTTTGTTTACTTAATTTTGACAGATTTATAATACAGATGTATAATACATGAATAGAATAAATTTAAGAAATTTCGTTTTGACGTATTTTTGTCTTACATAATATTTTCGTGATATTATATATATCTATGAGAAATTTTCAAAATGTCTACATTATTTTTTTCCATTTCATGAATTGAAAAAATAATATTTTTTTCAAGGACAAGTGTATTATAAAATTCCGGAAGATAATAATTCAAATCATATAAATGTACGTCGAACATATCCAGTCTTTAAAAATATGCACTGAACACTTACATGGGCCATTGAGCTAAATATATTTCTGTGAATAGGCATAGCATTGACTCACTGACTTATTATTTGGTGGGAGGGGGGAATCCCGGGATCGCCTATAGAAAAGCCGGGACCCGGGATAGTATTAAACATATAGTAATCCCGGGAATTGATCACCTACTCTCGGTGTATTTTGATTATGATTATGATTATGATTATTATTATTATTATTATTATTATTATTGTAGAGATTTCTGATTTGTAGTAGTTATAAAAAATCTTTAAAAATAACGTATTTTTTCACAGACAAAAGCGTTAATTAATTGACCTCAGAATGTCACATACACAAAATCTTATTTAATATTGTAAGTACATGTATTAAATGGCAATGGAAGTCGTTGTATACGAGCATCGTATTGGACATAAGGAGTATGCAATAAGAAAAAGTAAACACAAGTTGTCAATTAATTCAGCCAGAAAAGCCGGGATCGTATTAAGAAATATAGGGATCCCGGAAATTGACCAGTCTAAGAAGATATTTTTCAGATAAGCCGGGATCCTATTAAAACATATATAGGGATCCCGGGAATTGACCAGTTCAAGAATATAGTTTTCAGAAAAGCCGGGATCGTATTAAAACATATAGGGATCCCGGAAATTGGCCAGTTCAAGAATATAGTTTTCAGAAAAGCCGGGATCGTATTAAAATATATAGAGATCCCAGGAATTGGCCAGTTCAAGAATATAGTTTTCAGAAAAGCTGGGATCGTATTTAAACATGTACAGGGATTCCGGGATTTGGCCAATTCAAGAATATAGTCTTTATTTTTTTCTAATTAATTAGGCATATAATTATAAGTATTGTGATTGTTTGTTAATAAATAGCTCTAAATAAATTTATCATTTTCCATATACATCTTATAAAAATAAGCTATAGATCTAGTTAATTGCTAAATACAGGGTGCAAAAATAAAATTTATCAATTTATTAACTGCTTTAAACAAAATTTAAATTTCATTTTTTTAATTTTAAATGTATTTTTTACAGTTTTAATTCAATAAAATGTGGTTAATCATTCATGCAAAAGCTCTGTACCCTTCTTCTGCACTTACTGACACAGTAGCAGACATCTACATTTGAAGGGGAGATAACAATAACAACATCTGTCCCAATTTAAAATGTCAAAATTTAAAATAAAATTTAAATATTTCAAACCTGTCAGTTATCTTTTTTCATGACCTCCTGCCATCTCCAGCGAACCTATGCCGATGGGGACTAATCACAGACCCAACATGCAGTCTGTGCAAGAAACCAGGCACTCTGGAACATGTTTTACCTTCCTGCTCCACAGCACTGACACAGGGCAGATATCGCTGGCGACACGACAACGTCCTCAGAGAGGTTGCCGATTGGCTGGAAGGGGAGAAGAAGAAGCCACGCAGAAGTAACTCACAGGCAGGCCACATCAACTTTGTGAGACCGGGTGAAACTGCGAAGACAGAAGCTTCACAGAAGAAATCGATCCTTGACGGCGCCACAGGATGGAATATGTCAGTCGATCTAGGAAAGAAACTTGTGTTCCCGGGTATCGTCCAGACCAACTTGAGACCAGACATTGTACTGTGGTCCGAGACAGGGAAGAAGCTCGTTGTCATCGAGTTGACAGTACCTTGGGAGACGAGATGTGAAGAGGCCTATGAGAGGAAGAAGGCCAAGTACACTGAACTACTTGAGCAGTGCCGACACCGAGGTTGGCGGACTTGGCTATTCCCCATCGAAGTAGGCGCTAGACGGTTCTGTGCGCAATCTGTATGTAGATTGATGACAGCTGTTGGCACCACTGGCAGAGACAGGCGCCGGGCAATCCAGAAGCTGAGCCAGGCTGCTGAGCGGGCGTCTAGCTGGCTGTGGCTACGACGCGAGGAGACAAGCTGGATGCGATCAACCTCCACACCGTAAGACGGTGGGCCCACCCGCCATTACAGATGTACTTGGATAAGGGCCGAAACATCTGGCGGGCACCAAGCTGACGATGGAGGAAGATCCGCAGTCGAGAACCAGACCTCAGAAAGGTGCGTTTAAGACTGTATTATCCACAATTTTTTTCCTGATTTCTATGCATAAACACAGCACTGATGCAAAATTTCATCGATATCCATCAACCAGTACCCATTTTTCAAATTTCTCCTCTTGGTGTCGGCCTGGTGAATTTTCGTATTCTTTGTTCTATAGTAAATCAGTCACATTTGAGTTCCACTGTTCTTGATAAATTATATACTATCTTCAGCTTTAAACATCAACACTATCTAAGTCAAATGAGGCCCAAAATATAATAGGTTAGCCATCTACTTTTTTTCAGAAATCTTCATTCTGTTGTAACACAGTTTAAATTCACCACTTTAAAAACTCCTGACTGCTGGTTGGTGGTACATCTTTAATCCTTCCGCCAACAAATGAGTTCCTGGAGAATACACAAAAAACAACTTTTAAACTCATCATATAACACACAAAAACTACACACATGCAATAAATACACTTTAATTATGACCAATCTAACTAGAGATGACTTAAATTGGGCCACTTCAAAGTTTTAAAGAACTACTTTCTAATTCCGTACCGGGTTGAGACCTAATGCGATCCCGGATCCCGGGGCGAAGTTTAATAAATAAAACTTCGCCGCGCGCCGCCACTAATTAGCGTGTTTTCGTCCCGCGACCCCGCCAAGCGAAAAGTTGATTATTAACATGTTAAATGGCGGGGGCGCGGAGCGAAAACACGCTAATTAGCGAGGGCGCTAATTAGCGTATTTCGCTCCGCGCCCCCGCCGTTTTATTTCATAAATCTATTAAGCTCGGACTTTCCGCGTATTAACTTGACTTTGATTAGATTAAATTCTACGCAGGCATTGTTACATACTATTAAAACATGACTAAAACTGTAGTATCTGCAACCTAATTTATAAGAGGTCTAAACCATTTTTTGTAGTTTGCGTATGTAAAACATTTAGTATTATTCATCCTTGCCGTAAGGTGATCTACAAAATATTTAGTGATATTCATCCTGTTTTATCGTAAGTTGGTCTTTCGTTAGAAGGGAAGGACTTTAAACCAGTAAATTGCATGTCAGATACCACAAATATTCCTGTGCACCTCCTTGTTATCCACAACTTTTCATGCCAGTTGTAAGGAACTACTATTAAATTTATTTGTAATATTTTTAATTTTCTTTTTTTTTTGTTAAAAAAGACACCGGGATGGGGGAGGGGGTTAAACTGTGACATTGTGCAGTTGTGATTGAAGTACGTCTGCTGTCGTATGCCGTTGACCTGTATTTTCGGGGATTCAACGTTTAAATTAATAGTCTGTAAGATCCACAGCCCAAAATATGAAGCTTCAGCCTAGTCCAATATATTAGACGTTACAGGCTTGTTTATGTCGGTCAAGCCCGACGTCTAATAGGTATTGCTCAAAAATGCATAGCATCATAAAAAAATTCAAAAAATGTCTTTTGTCTTGCCTTTCAAGCTTTATTCAAAAGCTTATTTTCTTTTTCATTTTCATGCTCAATCATACACAAAAACTCTCAAACAATGTACTTATCAATTTAAAATAAAATATAAACATCAATCTATTTTTGTCTATCAGCCATACTGGTTAAGCAAGGTGCTTAACAGATTGATTCCAAATTTTTGAACGGAAAAATATATTCGAACACGCTGACGGTGCATTGGCAATTATTTCGTTAAAAAAATATTCCTTTAGATTGTTCTGACTCAGTTAAACGCTTGCATTTGAATAAGCCATTTAGATTTCGCGCACTTTATGGCCGCCATTTGTTTATCGGCTGTAAAAAGAATTGAAATACATGAGAGGATTTAATCATGATTTTTCGGATGTGACAGTTTAATTATTTTGACAAAAGGTATTTATTTTTTAGTTTTGTTCATAAATAGGTCAAAACTTATGTAAATACACGCTGTCTTCATTGTTTTTCATTCTGCCCGATTTTCTGGCGGAACATACTATGGGTTTTTGAGCAATTTCGTTTATCTCAAAGCGACGTCATATTTATAGGACTAGCTTCAGCCATGTAAGATGACTTCGAATTTTAAAAGATAATCAGTGATAATTCTAAAGATAATCACTCCGAAAGAATCGCTCATATTTATTGCCCCCTGCTTTTTGTGTCGCCTCTACAGAGTAGTGGCGACATATAGGGATCACTTCTCCGTCGTCTGTCTGTCCGTCTGTCTGTCTGTCCGTCCGTCCGTCACAAAACTTGTCCGGACTACTCCTCATAAACTACTGGTGCAATTTCATCCAAACTTTACAGGAATGATCAGTACCAAGTCTAGTTGTGCATATTGTCAGCATTTTCCGGTTCAATGATTTTTGTCAGAGTTATGGCCCTTTAATAATTTTTAATTTTAAAGTTTGTCCGGACTACTTCTCTTATACCACTAATGTAATTTCAATGAAACTTTACAGGATTGATCTGTAGCTCAAGTCCTTGCGCATATTGCACGGGTTTTCCGGTTGAATGATTTTTGGCCGAGTTATAGCCCTTTGATAAAAAGGTTTCTTTTTCTGTGTGTTGCCAGATACACAAAAGCTTGTCCGGACTACTCCTCATAGACTACAGGTGCAATTTCATCCAAACTTTACAGGAATGATCAGTACCAAGTCTAGTTGTGCATATTGTCAGCATTTTCCGGTTCAATGATTTTTGTTTGAGTTATGGCCCTTTAAAATTTTTTATATTTTAAAGTTTGTCCGGACTACTTCTCTTATACCACTAATGCAATTTCAATGAAACTTCACAGGATTGATCTGTAGCTCAAGTCCTTGCGCATATTGCACGGGTTTTCCGGTTGAATGATTTTTGGCTGAGTTATGGCCCTTTGATAAAAAGGTGTTTTTTTTCTGTGTGTTGCCAGATACGCAAAAGCTTGTCCGGACTTCTCCTCATAAACTACTGGTGCAATTTTATCCAAACTTTACAGGAATGATCAGTACCAAGTCTAGTTGTGCACTGTCCGCCTGTCTGTCCGTCTGTCACAAAATTTGTCCCAACATGAAATTGGCCATAATGAGGCGACACATGTGATTACTGATCGCTCTTGTTTGAAGAAAAAAGGGGGATTTAGAAATAGGTTCCATCCATCTGTTCATCTGTCTGGCTGTCCGTCCGTCACACTTTCGTGTCGGTCCATAAACTTCTTCATTTATCAAAGGGATTTGAAATAGCTTGGCACGTTTGTTATAATAAGGCAATGTCTCATGTGCATCAGACCCCTCCCTCAATGGTCAAGGTCGCACTTGCTCATTCAAGGTCAACATTATTTATTTGAGGGTATATGTTATGTCCAGTCCACAACTTTCTTATCTTTGAAGGGATTTTGTAAATACTTGCCACCACAATTGTTCGCAATAATGAGACAATATGTCATGCGCAAAAACCGGTCACCTACCTCCAAAGTCAAGGTCACATTTGGAGGTCAAAGATTAACATAGTCCATTTTAGGGCATATTTTGTGTCCGGTCCATAACTTTTTTTATAGATCAAAGGATCTTGAAAATACTTGGCACAAATAGTCACATTAACAAGACAAAGTGTCATGCACAACAACTGCATCCCTACCTCCAAGGTCAAGGTCACACTTAGAGGTCAAAAATTAACATAGTCTGTGATAGGGTATATTTTATGTCAGGTCTATAACTTTTTCATAGATAGATGGATTTTATAAATACTAGGCACAAATAGTCACAATAATAAGATGATGTTTCATGAACAACACCTGCACACCTCCCTCCAAGGTCAAGGTCACACTTAGAGGTCAAAGATTAACATAGTCTGTTATAGGGTATATTTTGTGTCCGATCTATAACTTCTTCATAGATCAAGGGATTTTGTAAATTCTTGGCACAAATGTTCACAATAATGAGATGTTGTGTTATGTGCAATAACCAGTGGCCTACACTTAGGTCAAGTACGGCAAAGATTAATATAGTCTGTTACAGTGTACATTATGGATTCAGTCTTACAAGGTCACATAAACAATTAAAAGATATCATAGTCTGTGTTTTTGTATCAAGAGAATAACTCGAAAAGTATTAGAGATAAACTCTGTATATGATAATTCTTCCCTGCCTTTTGGAAAAAAAAGGTGGATGTAGAAATGGACTCCATCTGTTTGTCCCATCAATGAATTTCAAAATAACTTAGCTAAAATGTTCTGTTTAGGCATAATTAGACAGCCTGCCTTACACAACTGTTGGATGCCCATCTCTGTTGTTGCATTTGAAGATCTAGCATTGATCAAAATTTGAAACTAAAAGTCCTGATCCATACCTCAATCATTTGAAATAGCACAATTTTATGCTTCAATAAATTTCATATAATACTTCCTTAATGCGGGTGACAAATTCTTGTTTATAAACTGGTTTTGGCCCCAATCACCTTTTTTAACAAATAAAATAAAAATCTGTCTAGGGACGAGTACAAAACTTTGACAGATCTAAGTTAGGTACCTGACCAGCATAACCATGTTTAAATTTTGCTCTTTTACTGTACAATGTACTTTTTAATTGGAATACAGTATAGGCCTGAATGTGACAACTTTTCATGTTTATTCAAAATTTCATAGCAGATTTACGGCCCTTTTTTATTTTGATTATAATTCAGTACCAGTAAAAAATGTTCTGATGATTGTATCAAAGAAATAGAACTACCCAACCTTTTCCACGTTTTCTGAAAAATAATATATTGTTCAAAAGTATTGATTTTCTTGGAAATTCAAACTTAAGTTTATCTTTAAATGTTACATGTTCTCTAAGGTAACTTTAAACAACAGACAAATCTTATAAACATAAATCACTGTATTATTTGACTGCTGTGTCAACAAATGTCTCTCTTTATGAAGAAACATAGATGCCCTGCTGGTAAAAATAGACCCTACTGGACAAAAATTATAAATGGCCGGAAAACTGCTAGGGGCCGAAAAATGCTGGGAAACCAGTACATGTAGATATAATCAGTCCATTCAACGATTCATTTGATTTACTTCTGTATTTTTAAAGGTTATGCAATGCAAGCTACAACCTTGGAAGAAAATTGTGTCTAGTGGTAGAAATATATAAAACTGTTTACCATGACAACAGTTTTCTGTGAGGCCGAGTTTGATGATCTACTATTCCTGGAGAAGGCAGGTGGAGGTACATTTGGGAGTGTATACAGAGCAATATGGAAACCATACGAGATGGAAGTTGCTGTGAAAAAATTACTTGTCCTTGATAAAGAGGTAAAACATTGTTTTTAACAGATCCTAAACAATTTGAAATATAGGTATATCTTAAGAAATCTATAATAATATTTGTAATATCTTAATTACAGTATTTCATAACAATGCATTCATTCAATCTATAGCTTTGTGACATTTTGATATTTGTAAATGGCAATTTAACAGGTAGGGTTAATTTGTCGTTGCGTGACTGTCTTTGGATTTTTTCATGTAAGAAAGTTATCCAGCTAGCTTACGTAATGTCAGTGGTTCTACTTAGGTGTCGGTTTGTGCCTGACATAATTCACAAAGGGGCACCTAAGGTATTCCTCCACCAGTAAAGCCAGAAAGATGCCATATGACCTATACTGGTGTTGGTGTTACGTAAAACTAAACAAAAAACACAACAAAACAGGTATATCTTAACAAATATTACAGTATTTCATAAGAATATATTCATTCAATCTATAACTTTGTGACATTATCATGAGTATGAATGATGATTCTTGGTAAATCAGATGTAAGTAGAGATAACTTATCTTTGTTGAAGATTTTCTAGATGAGATATTGACTTATAATGATATATTACAGGCACAGGTACTAAGTGTATTGTCTCATAGAAACATCATCAAGTTTTATGGAGCTGTGACAGAGGAGCCTAACTACTGTTTAATTACAGGTAGCTTATTTCTTGAATTCGATTGTTAAACATATACACCAAGTCTAAAGTTGTTGAAATGATGTAAAAGCAGCATGCCTGCAGATTTATGCTTATTAAAACTTTACAGAAATGATCCTAAGTTGGTCCTTTTCTAAAATTGCTTAAATTGTTCAGGATAGCAAAACAAGATGGCCACCAGAGTTAAGAATAGAAAAATCAACTTCGCGTCCTCAACCATGTGGAAGATTTGGATGAAACTGTATAGCAATTATCATTATTTAGGTTGTCCTATACAAAAATTGCTAAAAACAATCTGTTGAACAAGTCTTGTCCATGTCGAAAGAAATCCTCTGGTGAGCGATTAAGGGCCATTATGACCCTCTTGTCTTCGTTTGCAAGTGACTTCTGAACTGTACAAATTCCAAAGAAAAAAAAAGTTTTATATGGATGTGTATACAATTATTAAATATATTTGTATGATGTGAGGAAATTTGATAATTAGTTAACTAAAATAAGTGATATTTGCAGTCTGTTGTTAGAATATTACTTTGTTTCATACATACATGTACCACTAGTATCTTATCATGAAGGGTTTATTTCAAAAACTGTTACTGAATATATACATTTCAGAGTATGCCAGCAATGGATCACTTTACGCATATCTACAGAATCCAGAAAATCATCTAGATTTTGAACAGATTTTAAAATGGGGCAAAGAAATTGCTTTAGGTGAAAACATATTTACAGTATTTCTTTAGCTTATTTTAAGCAAAAGTTAAGGAAGAATTACAAAGATAGACTTGATAGTCCATTGACAGCTTTCATTGTTCATCAAAGGTTTCAGGCTTAAGTTTGCTTAACAGATGGTATCTTTCTGCCATTGTTTTTCTTTATTAAAGTTTTTCATCAATAATTTAGATACTTGAACGTTATGCTAAATGTCTTCGATTTTTATACCCCCAAAAACGAAGTCGGTCGGTTGGTCGGTCGGTCGGTCGGTCCAGCGGTCCGTTGCATTTTCCTTGTCCGGAGCATAACTTGAAGACTAATGGTTGGAATTCAATATAACTTCATACAATGGTCAAGCACATTGAGAGGAAGTGCAGTGCACAAGAACCATAACTCCATCTTGACTATTTACAGAGTTATTGCCCTTTGTTACTTTTCCTTGTCCGGAGCATAACTTGAAAACTACTGGTTAAAACTCGAAATAACTTCATACAATTGTCAAGCACAATAAGGGGAAGTGCAGTGCGCAAGAACCATAACTCTATCTAAAGTAATAACAGAGTTATTGCCCTTTGTTATTTTTCCATTGCTTTCTTTTGTCCGGACTATAACTTGAAGACTAACAGTTGGAATTCAATATAACTTCATACAATGGTTAAGCACATTGAGAGGAAGTGCAGTGTACAAGAACCATAACTCCATTTTTACTAATTACAGAGTTACTGCCCTTTGTTACTTTTCCTTGTCCGGAGCATAATTTGAAAACTACTGGTTGAAACTCGAAACAACTTCATACAATTGTCAAGCACAATAAGGGGAAGTGCAGTGCAAAAGAACCATAACTCTATCTAAAGTAATTACAGAGTTATTGCCCTTTGTTATTTTTCCATTGCTTTCTTTTGTCCGGACTCAAACTTGAAGACTAATTGTTGGAATTCAATATAACTTCATACAATGGTCAAGCACATTGAGAGGAAGTGCAGTGCATGAGAACCATAACTCCATTTTGACTAATTACAGAGTTACTGCCCCTTGTTACTTTTCCTTGTCCAGAGCATAACTTGAAAACTACTGGTTGGAATTCAAAACAACTTCATACAATGGCCAAGCACAATAAGGGGAAGTGCCATGCACAAGAACCATAACTCCATTATGACTAATTACAGAGTTATTGCCCTTTGTTACTTTTCAATTGCTTTTTTTTGTCTGGAGCATAACTTAAAGATTTCTAGTTTGAATTCAATATAACTTCATACAATGGTCAAGCACATTGAGAGGAAGTGCAGTGCATGAGAACCATAACTCCATCTTGACTAATTTCAGAGTTATTGCCCTTTGTTACTTTTCCTTGTCTGGAGCATAACTTGAAAACTACTGGTTGGAATTCAATACAACTTCATGCAGTTGTCAAGCACATTGAGAGGAAATGCAGTGCACAAGAATTATAACTCCATTTGACAAATTACAGAGTCATTGCCCTTTGATACTTTTCCTTGTCTGGAGCATAACTTAAAACATACTTGTTGGAATTTAAAACAACTTCATACAATGGTCAAGCACAATAAGAGAAAGTGCAGTGCACAAGAACCATAACTCCATTTTGAATAATTACAGAGTTACTGCCCCTTGTTACTTTTCCTTGTCCAGAGCATAACTTGAAAACTACTAGTTTGAATTCAAAAGTATTTCATACTATGGTCAAGTATATTGAGAGGAAGTGCAGTGCACAGAAAGCATAACTCTTTTTGACTAATTTAAAAGTTGTTGCCCTTTGTTACTTTTTATTGTCCAGTGCATAACTTGAAAATTAATGGTTGGAATTCAATGAAACTTTATACAATGGTCAAGGGCAGTGAGATGAAGTGCAGTGCACAAGAACAATAACTCTATTTGGACTAATAACAGTTATTGCTTTTGTTACTTTTTTGTCCAGTGCATAACTTGAAAACTAGTAGTTGGAATTCAATACAACTTCATACAATGGTCAAGTGCAATGAGAGGAAGTGCAGTGTACAATAGCCATAACTCAATCTTCAGTATTTATAGAGTTATTGCCCTTTGTTCCTTTTCCTTGTCTTTCTGGACTTCTTACAGAGTAATCCAATAAAACTTCATCAATGGCCAACCACATTCAAAGGAAATGCAACATACAAGAACCACAACTATCTGTAATTGCCCACAACCATAACTCTGTTTCAATTCTTTACAAGGTATTCTGTTACTAGTAACATCCTCATTTCCGAAGCAGTCTTGTGGGGGGTATTAATCACATTTAGTGATAGTTCTAGTTAATTTAAGAGTCTGGGTTGGTACCTATAAATTTATTATCATTTAAACTGTTGTTGAATGTTTTCTTTTCTCTATTTCAGGAATGAACTATTTACACAGGGAATCTCCAATCAAAGTCATTCATAGAGATCTCAAATCTAAAAATGGTAAGTAGTTACATAATCTGTCCTCCAGATATACTGTGATGGTATTGACATTCCTATATGATAGTTGGTCATGTGACATCAGGTGATAATGTCATGATGAAGACTGATCTATTTTAGTTGTTGTTCAAAGACAAACTATTTGAAATGTTCATTGTTTGTTATTGACAATAAAGTTTGGATGACAATAAAGTTGTTTTCATTGAAGAAATTACATTTTTTATTTTATGTAGTTAAGCAAATGCAGGTTTAATTAAGATAAGATTGTGTAGGAAGCTATAAGCCTAATGACATGCTCACACACTTATTTTTGGAACTAACGGCATACTGAGTGATGAGTGTAAAGTTTCTTTCTCCAGGAAATGTCAGCTTGTTCCTGTAGGGGGTTTGAACTCACATAACTGGTGATTCTTAATCAGACACAATAACTACTCAACTCTGCTGCCACTAACTAGAAGTTTTAATAAGAAGAACAGCAAAGTTTATCAGAATAGTTGATAAGTTTTAATCATAGACTAGATTCACTATTGTTTATTTTTTCAAAAATCTAGGTCATCAGGTGAAATCAAGTTTGTATACTCTCGAACTTATGAAACACTTGTTAAGTTGACAGAACTTCATGATACTTCAGTCAAATGTTTTTCATGATGTGAGGTAGCTGACATTCACACAAATTTGTAAAATACATATATCTGAAAGCGCAATGCTGTACATGTTATTTGACATCTTTATCACTATTTCTTTAAAATAAATGTATTTCTTTCTTAATATTACAGTGGTGATATCAGAAGATTGGATATGTAAAGTAAGTTCTTTACACATTATTCTAGTTTTCTTTACCAATATATTTATTGTCTTCATTATCATATATGAGGTGTTTCACTATCCGAGTGAAGTTACTGATTTTAAACCACTTGCCTCTCTCTACTCTGAGTTTGAATCCTGGCACAATCCTTGCATTCTTCCATGTGCAGGAGCTATCCAGCTAGCTGACAGAATTTGGTGGCTTTCCCAGGCCCCCATTTGTGTCTTAAATAATGCTTGTATTAGCACCTTAGGTCTTCCACTATCAGAAAGCTGTAATGCCACAGTATGATCTAAAATACATGTACAAGAGTGAAAATTATGTAGAAGACAGAGTATATTTATATACATGATAGAGTGAAAAATATGTACCAGATACAGTGAAATATATGTACAAGATAGAGTGAAATATATGTAAAAGATCGGAGTTGAAATATATGTACAAGATAGAGTGAAATATATGTAAAAGATCGGAGTTGAAATATATGTACCAGATAGAGTGAAATATATGTACCAGGCAGAGTGAAATGTATGTAAAAGCTAAAGTGAAATGAGTGTTTTGTTACAGATCAATAGTACAATATCAATTACATGTATATTACTATGAAGATATGTGCAGTATATAACAGACTAGCTCTGTTAAAGGAAATAATAGGTAATACATTAAGACTGTTAATACAAATATTATTTTGTTTGTATAGATTTGTGATTTTGGGGCATCAAAGTTCATGGGTGGAACAACAAAGATGTCCCTGGCAGGAACGTTTCCCTGGATGGCACCGGAGGTAAATCAATACTTTCTAAATTAGGAACAGAAACAATATTTTCTGCTTACATGATGGACAGTGTTCATTGTACAAATTCATCCTTCAGTAGTGGTCAGAATTTCTTCAAACCTGTATGTGGCATGGTTGTATGGCAAATTATTCCATTCTAGTAAAAAAAATAATTAATTGTTATCATTTTCTTTTTAAAGCCATTGTGGTGGTTAAATGGTTCCTCCCCACTCTTGTTATCAATACGTTTATGCATTCATTTTGGATGGATTTTTTGTAAGGTTGTTTCAAATATATTTGATGTGAGTCATAAGGGCTTTAGATAGAACACCATAAAACATTTTGTAATTCATAGATGATTAATAATTAAACTTGGACTTGATTTCCATTTTAACTTACATATTCTTGTTGACATATCAAGACTTGTATTTATTATTGCTCAAGTTTCTACATAAAGGAGCTTTTGTCACCATTCTTATAAATACATGTATCAACTTATGTGGTCCTTTTATTATGTCCCATATCCCACCAGAACTTTTTGATCCACAGGAAGGTCTAATTTATTATATTTTGTCAGATTTTTTGTCTTTTTAGATAATTTTATGAAAATAATAATTATTTGTTAAGAGGAGAAGACTCTTGTTATAAAAATTTTTTTTTCTGTCTTTTTGGTGTTGACAAATTATGAGTGATATTTTCAGGTTATACAGAGTCATCCAGTATCAGAAACATGTGACACATGGTCTTATGGAGTGGTATGTAACTTTTTTTAATTGAGTTAAACCTGTCACATTTGTTTTCATGTCAAAAGTAAAGGTCAATTGGACCTGTTATTAATTTAATATAAAACTTATCATTAAATCAAAGTGCATTGACCAATAAACTTCAAGCTTTGTATGTGGATACACGTTGATGAGTTCTACCTGTCCCACTCATTTTCGAGTGAAACGTCAAAGGTTAAGGTCACTTTTGTCCTTCAATAACAAAACATAAATCTGGCTATTAAAACATGTAACACTTGCCCAGGAACTTTAATGTTCTACCATTTTGTTTGTGAAATTGGTGACTTACTAGTGTTATAAAAGTTATTTAATGCCAATAATTAATTGATGGTTTCAATAAAATATCATGCACAATTAATTCCTGTTGTTATGTGTGTGTAAGCAAATATTTACAAATTTGTATTCTAGACAAGATCATTCACTGGTGATGAGCCTTGCTCTCTGGAAAATTTACCACACTGAAAACCAGATTTTACTGTTGAAAAGTACAACAATGTACTGAAAAATGCTTTTTGTCACATGGTTCACTAAAATAAGCAGTAAGAATAACTCCAGTTGGCTTATTGGAAATTAACATTATAATAAAAGTAATGGGTAATGATATCAATGACTATATTTCAAATTTTAATATTTGAATGTATTGGTTTCAGGTGTTATGGGAGTTGTTGACTCATGAAGTACCATTTAATGGTATAGAGGGATTTCAAGTAGCCTGGCTTGTTGTAGAAAGAGAAGAGGTAAACTACTGCAACTTTTATCACAAATATATCATTATTTTGTCATAAATTTGTGTCCATCTGTTTACTGAAGGGACATAATATGGTATTTCCCTTGTGACTTACTGTATTTTAATGGTACAAAGTGGTAGATCATTTGGTTTCTTTTCATTACAAGTTAATGTATTTATAACCTACATTGGTCATAAAAAAAACTTTCAGTATACAAACTTGTTAAGACTTGCCAAACTTGTTATATAATTTTGTTTCACAAGTGTGGTTTTGACAAATTCACAAATTCACAAAATTCCTTAAGGTAAAAAAGCGAAATTTAGTTCATGTGAATTTAAATCCCTTTACAAAGCTGAAAAAACAGCAGAACAATAAAGGGAGGAAAAACAGAAATGCTAAAATTTTTGTATGAATTTCATAGAGGCTGACAATACCAAGTGAATGTCCACCATGTTTTGCCAAGATTATGTCCCAATGTTGGGAACTAGATCCAAAGAGACGTCCATCTTTCCGACAGATCCTTAATAAACTTGATATTATATTGGAAGATGGTAACTATAGTTTGTTTAGTTTATTCGAATTATTTACTACTTATTGATTTATGTGATTGTGTAAAATTATTTATTCAGACTTTTGAATAGTTTATAGAAATGTACATATGTATATATAAGCCATAACGTCCTGGACGTCTTGGACTGTCCCGGAACAGGTGACTGTGATGGAGGTGTCCTGGAGATGGTTTATGTCACCACATAAAAATCAAAATCTGAGATTATCTTCTTTGCAGTAAGAAATTTTTATGCCCCCGCGCATGTAATGGCCGGGGCATAAAGTGTTACCCTGTTCCGTCATTCCGTCCTTCCGTCATTCCGTCATCATCAGTTTCCGTTCATTATCTTAAGAAGGGTTGCACACATTCAACTCAAATTTTACATATGAATATGTCATGAGAAAATACAGGTCAAGTTCGAATTTGGTCATGGTTCGATGATTTTTGGCAGAGTTATGCCCCTTTTACTTTGAAAATAATATGAAATTTCAGTTTCCGTTCATTATCTCCCCAACGGTACAACACATTCAACTCAAACTTGACATATGGATATGTCATGAGAAAATACAGGTCAAGTTCGAATTTGGTCATGGTTCGATGATTTTTGGCAGAGTTATGCCCCTTTTACTTTGAAAATAATATGAAATTTTCAGTTTCCGTTCATTATCTCCCCAACGGTACAACACATTCAATTCAAACTTGACATATGGATATTTGAAAATAATATGAAATTTTCAGTTTCCGTTCATTATCTCCCCAAAGGTACAACACATTCAACTCAAACTTGACATATGGATGCGTCAAAGGAATGCGCAGGTCAAGTTCAAATTTGGTCATGGTTCAATGATTTTTGGCAGAGTTATGCCCCTTTCACTTTGAAAGTAATATGAAATTTTCAGTTTCCGTTTATTATCTCCCCAATGGTACAACACATTCAACTCAAATTTGACATATGGATATGTTTTTGGAATGCCCAGGCCAAGTTCGAGTTTGGTCATGGTTCAATGATTTTTGGCAGAGTAATGCCCCTTTCACTTTGAAAATAATATGAAATTTACAGTTTCTGTTCATTATCTACCCAACAGTGTTACATATTCAACTTAAATTTGACATATGGATATGTCAAAGGAATGGGCAGGTCAAGTTGGAATTTGGTCATGGTTTGATGATTTTTTTGGCAGAGTTATGTCCCTTTCACTTTGAAAATGATATAGATACATCTTAGGAATAAGCAGTTTAAGTTTGAATTTGGTTGTAGTTCAATGATTTAAGACAAACTTATCTTTCCTGAATGTTGGAAAAATTTTGAACTTTCAGTTTCAGCACTCTTACTTTTAGCCATTATTTTGGCTACAAATATGCAATATGCTATTTTTTAAAAGGTTTAGACTGAACAATTTCAGTGCCTTGAACATTGTATGAAAATGGTTTGTGTTAACATTGAAAAGTTTTAAGGGCTTTGAACTTAAAATGAAAAAAATAATTAATGCACCATCTGAAATTTTGGCTGCATGCGGGGGCATCCGTGGCATGATGACACATTTCTAGTTTTTATATGCAATCGTGTTGTCAAGTTTATATTAACTATTCTAGAAACGATTATCCCCAGACAGTATAGCTGTATACAGGAAATGGATATATTCTATGCTGTTTATGTTTTTGTCTTGTATTTCAGAGGCTATGCAAGATGTTACCAATTCCTTCCTGGACCACAAGAACATCTGGCAGTATGTTGTTTAACTTTCATTGTAGACTAAGTATAGGTATAAGTGGGTTGATCTTAGTTGCATGTTGGCTCCCTAATTAATTAATATATAAAGCACTTAAGTGATTTACTTGTGTTTAACTACATCCTCGCCAAATATTGCAATAACTTACTGTCTAGCAAGCTAATCTCTCTAAAACAGATAAGTGTTAAGTGAAACTTTATTGTATATGCAGGGTCAAAAGCAAGATTTGCAGACCAAGTTCTACAACTCTTCATTGCATTCCATAAAAGTTGTGCCCCTTTTTGACTTGAAATTTCAATTGATAGATGAATATCTCTGAAACCAGAACTGTTATTCACTGTAGTATTTTACTGTAGAATGTGGTATATAAGGGTATACATTCATTAGCCCACCAGGACAACAAGTGCTCAAGTTGAGCTATTATTTTTTGGCGTGTGGCGTTACGATTTTTATTAAACATCTCTTCTAAAGCACTAGAGTAATAAGTATGTAATCATAAAGGCCCATTGAACAAAATGGCCACTAGAGATAAAAAAAAATAGAATAACATTTAACAACATCTCCTCAACTTCTTGGTAAATTTTGATGTAACTGTGTTACAATCATTATCAGAGGTCTTTACAAATATTGCTCACTGTTGAAAGAAATGGCCACAAGAGCTGAAAATGCAAATAAGCTTTTAAGCAACATTTTCTCCTAAATACACTTTGCCAAAAGTAATGAAACTATACAGGAATGATCCATCAATGGTCTTTCACTTAAATGGCTTAAATGATTCCAGTCAGTTAAATAAGATTGCCACCAAAGCTTATGACATGTTATGTGAACAAATATATTCAGTAAGATTACTTGACATTTGTAGTTTCTTTTACATACTTTTGTTTGTAGTACTATATTTTTTTAAAGTCATTAAAGTATCATTTGTAACAGTCAGTCTATGAAGCTAGATGTCCCTTATGGCTAAGGGGTTACCAAAATCATCTTTCCTGTTCCGGCGCCATATGACATATAAAACCAATCAAACTAAGCTAGATTTAGGGACCACCTGTTATTGATAAAAATGATTTTTCATAGTTAAAAATAAAATAAATAAGATCACCATATATATTACAGAAATGAAATAGAGTCAACACTGACGAGATTAAAGAAAGCAGAAAGTCAGCTGACTAATAAAGAACGGGAACTTAGAGAGAAGGAGATACAGCTGATGGCTAGAGAAAAGGATCTGCAGCAGCAACTCTATGTAGCTGTAAGGTTACTTACCTTTCTTAAAGATCCAAATTAATTCATTTGCTTAAAGACAGTTCCCAATTTTTACAATATTTACCTCCCTTGCCAAAATTGGCAGCCATTTTGGGGGTCAGTATTCTGTAGATCTAATATAATCGACAAAATATGAAGAAGAACAAATTAATATAAACAGCTGATTTGGGTGAAATGTAAATTTTTTTATACATATGAAGGAAAATATTATTAAAGCACCAATATGTAAAAAATTTTTATCAGTTTTCTTAAAGTTGATAGAATTATGACGGCCAGGGGAGATTATAATTGCTATGTGAAAAGCATAAATATTTGGAATGTAGCATTGTCTATTGAACATCTACCAATTTGCTTGTATCATGGTCATGGGGTCTGTGAATTTTGTACAGCAACTGTTGACAAGAACTCATTGAAACTTTTTAGAAAGTTTGTGATTCTACTCTGGTGCATTTAAGGTCTTCTTCTGCCAGTAATGTTTGAAAGTTGCCATATGATCTTTACAGATTTTGTGTGACTCAAGATCAAACAAAAATATTATGTTCTTCATTGTAGATTTAATGACAATTTCTAGTTATAGAATCTGGTGAGTGATCAAAGGCCATCATGACCCTCTTGCTATAAAATACATGATACAGGTGTTTGAACTTGAACTTTGCTGGCACATTGTGTAGATTATCAGACAGAATAAATTGAAATTTTACATTGTATTTTTAATTTACAGGCTTTGGATTCCCATGATGTAAATACATGGACAGAATATGATGTGGTAAGTGATGTTGATTTTTTTATGTTCTGGGGTGTAATGTAATTGAACCATCCATCTGTCTGTATACACTCGGGTGACATTACAGGATGAATGTTTGGGCATTCTATACAGACTATACTTGTGGGGGGAAAAGCCCCAAATAGAGTACAAATGCTGAACAAGGTTTCAGAGATCAAAGACATAACAGTAACCATATAACATTAACTCAGGAAGGACATTCATCCATTTGTACAAATATATGCATGCTGAGGTTGCTATAGAAAACAATAGGAAACAGTAATCTCCCTGTGATGCTAAATCATGCTATTCATTTATTAAGTTCTTATGTGGCATTGTGTAAATAAACAAATAATTTGCTCAGACCTTTAAATTAGTCTTTTAAATTTATATAGATAGAGTGGATTTTCAAAATATTTACAGGAAGTAAAGTATGTGGTGAAGAGATTAGTTGCCAGGCATGAATAGCAAAGTTATTCATGTAAGCATAAAGGAATATTGAATAAATTAATGTTAATTTCATAGTAATTTCATTGTAATTTCAATACATTTGTTTTATTTCAAATTAAAAATAATAATGTTTGATTTTTCAGCATCAGTGGATAAAACAGATGGCTCAGGGTATGTATAGTTATGTGCATCAATCTGATCTTCAAACTGCTTGCCACTCACCGGCCAGGGACTATGGATTCTTTTATTTGTGGAAGCCATGCAGCTAGCTTGCAAAACATCGGTTGCTATACTTAAGTGTCTGTTTGTGCCTGTTATTTTACATGAAAGGACAACAAGGTCTTCCAGTAATTTAGCTGTAAAGTTGCCATATGACCTCTACTGTGTAATGTAAAACCCAACCAAAAACATAAGAAAAAAAAACTCTTAATCCAATAATGAAACTTGCAAAATGATCAATGAAAAGGTTACTATATTTTCTAAAATAATACCTAAAAAATTGTACATTCATTGAACTAGTACAGTTAAACTTCGTTCGCTCGAACTCGGATTGCTCAAATACCTCCTTTCGCTCAAAATCATCGTCCAGTCCTGGCAAAATTCCTATATAATATATATTGTTCTACCTCGGATGGCTCGACACCCATCTCTCGAACTTTCGAACCTGATCTCTGGTCCCTTCGGCAGAAATATAGTCCTTTTTGGTCGAACACAAACAGACAACAAAAGTTGCAGGTCGACATGTTCTAAATAATTGACAGTCGGTGACACATGTTTTTAACACCTCGTGATCGTGACAAGGGCAATTAGGGTTAATTGATACAAAATAAAAGGTGTTGAAACCGATTTGTTTGTTATGATAAAATTGTATATTTGCCGTCTTTAGTAACGATAAAAAGAAAACAACTCCTGAAATGCGCAAAAGTCAATAAATAAATGACGTTTACCTGGACGGCTTTAATTACAACCGTGGTTCATGTATCATGAATTGTCAGTGTAATCTATTTATAGAATGATACTTGTACGTGTTTATTTTAGTAAATGACTACAAATATATGCGGCTGTAAAATGTTATTTCTTATATTTAATTAATTCATTGTTTAAAATAAAATTAATTCCATAATAGACATATAAATATATTTTGAACATTGTTCACAGTTTGGATAATGATCGCCCAATCGAACTCAATCAATTACAATATGCATAAATATAGATTAACACAGTGTACCGTTAATAATTCTTAATATGACGTATTCGACAAACAGATGTTCTAACAACAATTATATTGACGTATTTATCATTTGACCTATGTAAGCTGGAAAACCTTTAGATATGTGTTCTATGTAATAATAGTTCAACCTCGGTTGGCTCGAACTACCGATCTCTCGAACAAATTTTCACAGACCCTCCGAGTTCGAGCGAACGAAGTTCGACTGTAAACTGCAATACAGAATGCTTGTTTATCTATTTTAAAGGTAATACAGTAAAACATGTGTATGCTGACACTCTATGGGACTAATTAGTGATAAGAATAAAAAAAATTAAAATATTGAAACTTTATTACACTGTAAATTTTTTTTCTTTCTGTTTTAAGATTAAACATTCCGCTTTTAAAATTGCAAGTTTTAACTATTAAATACTGGACTTGAGCAGTATATGATTTGGTCTGTATGGAGATAAAAACTGACCTAGATCTATAGTGAAAAAGTCAGACTGCTGCTAGTTCTTAATTTTAAGGGTTAACATTGTATATTTCAGGTCACAATGTAGACCTGTTAGATTATGCAACACTATTTTTACACCACCATGTCACAGGCAAAGTTTTGCTGAATCTTACACAAGATGATCTCAGTAATATGGGAATACAGTCTCTTGGTCATAGATATGAACTCTTTGTAAGTGTAAATTAATATACATATATAATTATTATATGATCTAAAAAAAGCTGCTATGGTTAAGCTTTTATCTTACATTGTATTTTTTGATTTTTATGGTTTTCGTATAGAATTATAATACTTATGATGGTTTTAGTGCTAGAACTAATTGTATAATTCAAAATTGGCTATTTTTTTCAGCATAATTTCATCATTATGATAAGGGATCTTATATTATAAATATATATTTTGAGTAACATTTAAGACTAGTGACATTCCTTAGTTAAACAATAGTAACAATGTTAATATTTCTCTTGTAAGGAGTAATCACAATTTATTATTTGTCTTCTTTATTTTTATTTGCAGACAGAAATTGAACTTCTCAAGGCACATAACTATAGACTTCTCAATTTTCCTCCTCTGGCACAGGTAACCTCCCTTTGCTGTTAGTTGAATGATTCTGTCAATTTGATAATGCAGAAATTGGTTGCAGATGTGAGAAAATTGAATAATTGAGGTTGAAAGACTATTATTATTGTTGTTAAACTAAAGGCAATTACCAGTTTCTAGAAATATTGTTTCACTTCACGAACCTGTTTTTGTGTGTTGCTGGCATTTTCTTGTCTGTGTACTTAGCTAGAAAGAAGGGAGAAAAAAAAAATCTTAATGAAATGATTGTTAATTTTAACCAAAGTTTATTATTAGATTCGTGCATTTTAGGGACATGTTGTCCATTGAAGGTTTTGAGATAAGAGACATTTTGTTAAAAATTCAGGACTGCTGGTGATTGTAACACTGTAAATTTAAGCAGTAGCTATTAATAAAATATTTTCTAAATAGTACTAAGAAAATTATTATTTTTACAGCATGGGAACACATAAAAGAAATTTCTAGGAAAAGTTGTTTAAAACCCATCTCTGATCAAAGTACTCAATGCATGTCTATTGCTAGCCACAATTTCTTCCAACAACATCGCTCAAACAACTGGGTGGATTTTGACCAAACTTTACACAAAAGTTAACTGATAATTGTACATCACTATCTAAAACATTATAGCTTAGATTTTCATCTAACTACATTTATTCCTTATTGTGACTTCCCTTGCATGGCTCTTATTTTGCTCATGTTTTACAATCAAGCATTGACAATACTTGAGCCTCCTGTTCAAAGAGAGAATTGAGATTGATTGCTGGTGAATGTTTTGTAATATGCATTAAGATAAAGTCAACAAGAACTAAATCTATGGACTCCAATCCTGATTAGTGGTACCTAAAAGGAAAAGTCATTCCTTGTCTTCAGGACATTTATTCATTTTTACAAAAAAAGAAATAAATAAACCGTATGTTCATGAGTTATGGCATTTGAGGTGAACAATTTATGCACCAATCAATTATAACTTTAGCCTCTCAGCTTCTGGGGCAGTGCAGTGTTTTTGTTATGACATTAAAATTACTAGCATTGCAGGGGCATTTGGGGGGTAATTTAATTGTCTTGTTGTTCCTGCAGTGTAGGGCTGTTACCAGGGTTTTGATATTCAAAAGCCGATACTAGGTCCCAGCAATTTTCCATGGATGTGTGGATCAGGATTACAATTGACTCCTTATAAGGGCCACCTTGATATAAAGGACACTTAAAGGAACATTTTCTGAATAACTTGCATCATGTTCAAGCAGTATCTGTGTGGATCTAAATCTTATCAGTCAAGTTTGTCATGGTGTGAAATTATTTTGGTTGAAAATTAATTGATTTTTTTCACTGTTATAAACATATAAATTACAGGGGTGAATGATTGTTATGGATATTTATACAGGGTTTCTTCTAGCTATTACGTTATAAACAAAGATTTTAATATAAGATAAACGAGAAAAATTCACACTTGGAAGAAGTGTTGCTTATAATTGAGTTTTTGCTGTTTTTGAGTTATTAAGAAGAATCAAGTATAAATAAATGTTTTTATTACAGAAGTTTGGTTCCGAGGAGACACCAGAAAAAGATTGTCGTGTAGTGAAAGTTACCATGATATTTGGTCATCACCTGAGGCTTGGACAGTCAAACAAGGTAAGTTATCAACATCTCCTTTCATTTTAAAGCATTCTGCGTACCTTCAACATAAAATAACATGACTGCATTGTTGTGATTATTCTAGATAATAGTTTATTGTATATAAATTATATAGTAAAATCATATGATCAATGACTGGCCATTTTTCTTCAACCACAATTGTTTCAAATTGCATTTTTTTGCTCACCTTTTTGTACTCTTGTTGAGATAAGCCATTGTGATGGAAATGTAACCACTGTTTGTCGTTATCAAAAATTTCTGTAAACCACCAGAAATGATGAAAAAAATGTATTATCCAATATGCTGTTTCTGTATGTAGAGAAATGTTTATAATTCCAAAAAGGTCACAAGTGTCATTACCCAGTAATTAAACACTTGTCGCATTAGGTTTATATTTATAGCAGCATATTTAGAGGATATTTGAGTTTTTTCTATAAATACAGGATTTATTTTCATCAAGTAGTATGAAAATATATATGATAGTTTTCAGATTGTAAGATGAATAAAAATCCTATATTTATAGAAAAAACTTGAATTTTCAGTTTATTTTTATACTTTTCACTTTTTCTCTTTTTGACCATACAATTCTTAAGACTTCTACTTTAATTTGTGTGTATTGGCTTAAGCAAGAAGAAAGTAATCTGGCAAGACACCAGTGAAAATATAGAAAATATGTAAATACATAATGTTTTATTGCTATGGAAAAATTTTTTTACAGTGAAATGCGGAAAATGAAAATATGCATTTTCTTCAATATTTCTCAATGTTTATAAGTACAAATGTATGTAATAAATATGATTTACCATTCTTCACGTTGTAACATTCTAAAAGCATAGCAATATATAAAAAAACAACACGGCATCATAAAAGGCACTCAACTCTAAAGTCCATGTTGATATCTTAAAACAAACATTAAAAAGTCTTGTTTGCATTAAATCGTGAAGATTTTAGTGATAAGTTGGGAAATACAAACTATATTGTTTGAGAGTACTTTTACCACTAACAACCATCTAAAGCTTTTACTCCTCTTATCAAATAACTCATTTTATATTTGTTTTATGTCAGTTTGATTTCAAATGTTACTTTACTGGACAATTCTTGATAACAGTGTTCTGTTATGTTTTAGAATGCGTTAAGATTATTACTCTACTATGTTACATCATGTTGTTGTGTCATACAAACAATTGTATGATCATGTTAACATTTTGTATACATGAGTATCTGTTATCATTTCATTGTACCCATTTTACTGATGATTTATCAGACAAATATATTTCAAATTTTATTAAAAGAAACAAATATGAAATATAAATATGATAGTGTTCAGAGTCAGGGGCGTCTGTGACTGAGTGGTTAAGGTCATTGACTTCAAACCACTATTCCCTCACTGCTGTGGGTTCGAATCCGGACAGGGACTTTGGATTCTTTCATGTGAGGAAGCTATCCAAGAACGTTTGTGGTTCTACTCAGATGTCCGTTTGTGCATTAAATAATGCACGGAAGGGCTAAAATAATGCACGGAAGGGCACCTGAGGTCTTCCTCTTAAAACTCATATTTAATTTTATGTAATAGTCATTATCTATCACTAATCGTTCTGAAAATATATGGAATTTTGTCATGTGTGGTGAAAATATATTCACTGAAATAAAATAATGTCCTTATTCCGTAAAAGATAACTATAGACTAAAATGGGTATAACTATGTGAAAGGTTAATTATCTCCTGTTTTAATATGTTTCATATTATGTTCTTTCATTTCAGGAACATAAGTGGAAAATGTACATGGAAATTGATGATGATGATGAAGATGATGATGGTGGTGATGACAGTGATTTTAATATCTTAACATGTATTAAAGATGTCACTTTTACAGCTAAAGGTCAACAAAAATCTTTCAAGCTTGTCCATCCACCCTATATAATGGAGAAATGGAGTGTTGGAATAGAAAAAGATATGCAAATAGAATGTACAGTTAATTTTGAGGTAAGTTTTTGTGAAAAATTTTTTTTTTTCAATCACCAGAATGGAAGCTTTTTTGAAGTCATTGAAATGGTGAAAATAATAATGTCCTTGAAAAGGGCATTTGGAAACATTGTTCATCATAACATTGAATATGCTTGTTTTTTCCTTGCATGCTCACTTGTTTTTTCCTTGCATGCTCACTTGTTTTTTCCTTGCATGCTCACTATGTACAAAGTTTTTACAGTCAGCCATTAATATCACTTCCAATTTGCGGTACATGTATGTTGTATGTAATGAATTTGTTCTCTTTTTTGAGTGGTACCACTTTGCTATTATAATTACATATAGTTTATTTATTTTCTTTATCATATTTCTAATCGGCCACTATACAAAATATGATATTTTGTGTAGTACTTCAAAAAATTTATAGTATGGTTATTGGAGTATTGTTCACAATTTCCTATTCATAAAATGAAAGGAAATATGTATTCACATTCAAAATTGACCATACGGAAGAGCAAATGCATAAATAGAATATGGTTATTTCTTATGGTTTCATTCTCCTTGTGGTTAAGGGGTGGCCTTTAATGGTTGAGGCATAAGAATTGCAGCCACCGTTTATATTTTAGAGGTAAAACCAAACCAAACCAAATTTCAGGGACCATAAGTGTATTATTAATTATAATCATTATGTGGTTGCCCAGCAACAGTGTTAGATGTTATCACTTTAAGAAAATAGCACTGAATGTGAAATTATTTGTCATAAAGTAGCAAAATGTAAACAAAGAAAGTTTTTTTGAAAACTTTAACAGGATACCAAAAATAATAAAAGCTTTTGAGAAATAAAATAAAGCATAATGAGCCTTTTATTACCTTGAAGAAGATGGAGATAATGAAAGTTCAAGTTATATATTCAGATGTAAAATGATGGGTCAATAAAATTGGGAAATTAGCTCATACATATGTATAAACATCAATAGACATCAATTCATTTGAGTAAAAGTTTCCTGTTGGGCAGACACTATGTACCGTTTTTCCATTTATTCTGTGATTATAGTTTAGGAAATAATTAATTGCAATGGAAATCAGAAAAGACATTGCTTCATACTTTCCTACCACCATGTTTATCCAAATTGATTGCAACTGTACGTTCTGGATATATGAATATGTATATTGTATATAGATAATTATTTACAGAAAGAACACATTAAGTTAAAGGTCTAAAATGAAATATTTAAAATGCTTGCTTGCAGAATAAAGTGAAGAAACCAAAGTCTAGTCGTTACATTCATCAGCTTAGTACTAGTGGTGCTAATTCATATCAAAAGGTCATAAACTTGACCTTAACCAAAGTCATGGAGAAATCTACTCCAACTGTACAAATTACCAAAAATGAAGTTAAGTCAGTACAAAGTTCACCACAATTACAAGGTGCCTGGGTTAACAGAAATACATTCACTCCTGTTACAACTCCAGAAAAGAAAGGTAAGTCTTATATGTTTGTGCTGTTACATATAATTTGTAGATAATCTTGTCAATGTAAATTTCATTAATAGGCTGGTGGTAGAGTCTATTTGCATGCAGAATGTTGATATTCAGACTGGCCCTCAAGTTATGTTAGGATGTTAATACCCAGACTGGTCCTCAAGTTATGTCAACATGTTGATACCCAGGCTGGTCCTCAAGTTAGTCAGGAAGTTAATATTCAGACTGGTCCTCAAGTTATATCAGGATGTTAATACCAAGACTGGTCCTCAAGTTATGTCAAGATGTTAATACTAAGGCTGGTCCTCAAGTTATGTCAAGATGTTAATACTAAGGCTGGTCCTCAAGTTATGTCAAGATGTTAATACCCAGACTGGGCCTCGAGTTATGTCAGAATGTTATTATCTAGACTGGCCCTCAAGTTTTGTAAGAATGTTAATAACCAGACTGGTCCTCAAGTTATGTCAGGATGTTAATATCCAGACTGGGACTCAGGTTATGTCAGAATGTTAATACCCAGACTGGTCCTCAAGTTATGTAAGAATGTTAATAACCAGAATGGTCCTCAAGTTATGTAACAATGTTAATAACCAGACTGGTCCTCAAGTTATGTCAGAATGTTTATACCCATACTCGTTTTAGGTCAGTAGTATCTCTGTATAGTCATAAATTAAGATTACTGAAAGAACTTTGGTTTTATTCTTTAGAACTTGCTATAGCTGAAAATAGAAATACATTAAAACTTCTTTTCCTAGTGATTGTATGAATGAGTCATAAAATTTGTCTGTAGTATCTTTTAGATGATTTCTATTCAATTTGCTAAAGTAAATTTGCCACTTAAGCTAAGAATTAAGAATGGCAATGATTAACTGGATAACTGAGTCCTGGATCAAACATTTGAGGCAAGCATCTGTTCTCTTCATTTTTCTTCATTTCTGTCATAAATGTATAGTGAAACAAAGTAATATAAAAATTCTCAGAGCAAATTTAATTTTCTCTAAAGAAACATTAAAGCATCAATCAAAAGTCTGAATATTTTGTGGCACAAAATAATTAGACCCCATTCAACATTTAAAAGAATGGGTACTTCACTCTCATGCATTATTCTGTGTAAAGTGTATCAAAATAGGATTTTAAGGACTGGAGAGGCTTACATTGAAATATTGCCCAGCCTTGCTGTGGGTTTGAATCTAGACAAGCATTTTGGATTAAATCAACTGATGAAGCTATCCCCAGCTAGCTAGCTAGGTCTGTCAACAGTTCATTTCATCATTGCGCATGCCAAGGATTTCAGCAGTTCATTAAAACAGTTGTGGATATGGAATTAGTATTTACAGAAGGCATTAGGTAATAACATAAGATACCTGATACTGAGGGACAACAGTTTACTTTGGGACAACAGTTCTGACTGTTTCACAAATACCCATGAAATTACTGTATACTAACCAGTGTACAGTTTTCTCACTTCTCTGTGTGACATAAAGTATATTCACTCAAAACAAATAAATATCCTTTATATATTTATAGTTTAAGAATTGTATGAATGTATGTGAAAGAATGAATGTATATGGTGACAATAAGACAGAATTAAACATTTTTATTACCAAAATTTTACTAAGGGTGTAAGAGAAATTTCAGCATCATTTTACAAATAAGATTATTTACACAATGTACAATAGTTAGTGCCCACTTAAAGCAGCATTCCTCAAAGTTTATTGAATGTAGTCACATGTCACAACAGAGGTTGGACAAAATCTAAGAATTTGGTATGCCATGTATCCAGGGTGATATTTCAAGTTAGTTAATGTGTAGCCAGCCTTTAATTTTAAATCAATATACTGGTCACTTTAATTTTAGTCAATGTATAACTTTACATTACCACAAATTATGACAAATATCAAAGCAGTTTTTTCGTTTCCCTTTTAAGTTTAAAGGAACTCCACTGAGGGTCAAATGAGGTTCAATTTTGTGTCATTTTTCACAACTAGTATAATTATGCTGAATAAACAGAGTGAGTGAATGATCTGAAATTTTTCACACAAGTTATTGGTCTAGACTTACATCAATGGAACATTAACCTCAAAAGATTGTTTCCAATCAAGTCATGTCATAAAACTTGATATGAGTGCCTTGGGTCCCTATCATAATCTGAATGAAAGAAATCTGTAATATATTTCAAGAAGGTACAAATGTATATTTCTTTGGCAGAAAAGCAGACTACATGTATCTTTTTTAAAAGCAAACATATTAAATATCTATGTTTTAAAGAAATGTTTTGAATTCTTTCAACTGTTGTGTATTTGTTCTCTCAACTGTTTTATGTATTTGAAGAGGTATTTTGAATTGTTAGAACAAGACTAGTTTAGATTTTCTGTTCTCTTCTGGTGGCATGTTGCTTTAATTCATTCATCTTCGACAGATTTTATTAATCATTATAACAATTTTAAGTTTTCATGAAAATTAACACAAAAATGTTTGAGTGCTTTTGTGTCATCACAGTCTTTTTGCATCTCTGTTGAACTGTCTAAGAATCAACTGGTTATTTATAGATCCAGTTTTCATCTTCATTTATGATTGACACAACATGCACACAAAACATCGGATAAAAATGTTCCTAAGATGTTTAATTACTGTCAATATCTTTTGGTAGTCTTTTCTAAGTGAAATATTACTCTGGTGTCCTGAAACAAATTTGCATTTTGGCATATATTTTTTTTACAAATTATACATTAGCTTATTACAGCAGTTTTGAAGTTTGTTTATAGATTGATACATAAGTCAGGGGAATTTATTTGATGGTAGAAGTTTAGAGAGAAGGTTACCTTAGTTTACAGTGTTTTCAGTAGATATAATAAGAACATGCTCGAGCACCAGGGGAGGCAAAGATAAGGTAAATGTTTGGCAGACGGATGATTTATATGTAACCTTGAAATCAAATCTTTTCATCACTAAGCTTTGTTTAACTCCATGTGGTAAGGTCAAACAATCACAATATTCTTTTATAACTACTTGTTTTAGGGGTAAAAGGTATGTTAATCAGGGAATTCATTATAACATTCATGTTTTGTGGCTAGTTTTGAGTATGGATTTTCATATTGTGATGCAAGTTGGGTTTTTTCTTGGCTTACCTGAGCAGCAAATTCCTGTTCAGTGATTTTGTCAGAGTTATAGCCCTTTATTTTTTTTAGCTCACCTGTCACAAAGTGACATGGTGAACTTTTGTGATAGCTTTTCGTCCGCCGTCCGTCTGTCTGGCGTCCGTCCGTAAACTTTTAATTTAAACGACATCTCCTCATAAACAGCTTAGAAGCCAAACTTCACAGTAATGTTCCTTTGGTAGTCAACTTTAAAAATTGTTCAAAGAATTTAATTCCAAGCAGAACTTGGCAACCGAAAGAAAAAATTTAAAATATCTTCTTTTAGAAAACCAAAAGAGGTAGAGCTTAAATATTTGGTATGAAACATCATCTAGTCAGTGTCTACCAAAAAATTGTTCAAATAAATGCCCTGGGGTCAAAATTGGCCTGGGGATCATTGATTTTCCTTATATGTTTATAGTAAAAACTATAGAAATTTCTTTTTAAAAAAAACCCAAAGAGCTGGAGTTTAGATATTAAGCATGAACTATCTTTTAGTGAGTGACTACCAAGTTTGTTCAAATAAAAGCCCCTGGGTTAAAATTGGCCCGGCCCCGGGGGGCTTATATACAGGTGAGCGATTTCAGGGCCATCATGGCACTCTTGTTTTATTTTTTAAAGTTTTGTGTGGACTCGATTGTAGCATTGTCTTCTGATTTCTGGGAAATTTGATTAAACCATAACATAACATCAAAAAATCATACACCAATTATCAATAGTGGCACTGCATGTGGATGATGCACTTATTTCAGATTATCGAGGTTTTCACCAGAGTTTGGAAAATTTGGCATCATGAAATTGTTTAAATTGGGAAAATTATTTGGTATCTTTTAAAACCTCCTTTCAGGCTCTTTTGGCATAGTATTTTGAATTGTGTGACATATAATCAACACAAATATCAACTGAGGAGTAACAAATACAATAAAATTTGATAATAAAATGTGAGAAAACATCTGTCTGTTAATATGATTCAAGAATGAATTTTAGCAAATTTATCAGTTTGAATATCGGTAATTTCAGTTTGATTTGGGATTTTTTTTAAAGATAGAGAATGGGTTTTAAAATAGGAAAAGGACACTGGGAAAAGGAACACAGATATAATAATAAAATTTAAAAAAGGCTTGTCTGATATTGTTAAATTGAAAGATATTTGGTATTCATGTAGCCTTTACAGATTTGATATCAGTCATGCTCCTGGCTAGAGGTCAGTGATAATCTGGTCCCTGGGAGTTGCTTTGATTAAATACAACTGTATAGGAAATTTTTTTTTTATAAATCTTCCCTGAAAAAAGATCGGCACTTTGTTTGTAACATTGTTACATTGTATAGTTTACTTCTAAAAAAGTTATATGAAAAAATGTTTGTGCCCATGTGTACTTTTCATCTATTTACACATGTGAGCATTTAGGCCAACTTGGCATTTTGTTCATCTTATCCCAAAAAAGATTGCTCTTATAGTTTAATTTTTAATTGATAAATTGAAATACATAAATGCTTACATTATTTTTTGTTTAATTCTAAAAAAAAGAAAATATATAAATAAAAAAACAACAACAACATAAAGAAGAAGACAAAACAACATAAAGAAGACAAATTAAGAAGTGGAGGTTGGCAAAAATAGAAATAATACTTTTCATTGTTGAACTTTAATTTAATGATTACAGCATCTAGTTTAAGATAGATGAGATTATTTTAGTTGTATGTTGTTTGTTCTAGATATATACTTCAGAACTCACCATAATTGTTTCATTTATTTGAAGCATTCACGAGATACAGAGATACCTAGAGATAACTTGTATACGGAGAATAAAGCTCCAGTAATCTCCCTACAGTGCTACCACTTAAAATATAAAGTCATAAAGTCTGTGTGTAAGTGGGCTGTAGCAGAGAGTAGCTTCTAGCTGGCAGGATTTATGTCTGTTACCAGCATCTTGAATATGTCTTCACTAATTCAGGCAGATTAAAGCAGAGGGGTTCCTACAAACTATGACTTTATGTTTCATACACAGTATTATAATATACATCATATATAGATTAGAAGGGCTATACAGTTTTTCAAATATAATAAGGTTCACAGAAACCTGAGATATTAACATTATTTATTTCAAAAGTTCGTGTAATATCCTATTTATTTGAGTAAGATTAAAGAAAAGTTAAAGTAATATCCTATAAGTTTTTCTAACATTTTGATTCTGAAAATGGTTATAGCTATGGCATAGACAAGGCCACTCATGGGGTGGGTAGAAATTCTGGAAGATACATGTTTCTAAATTCATCATATGATACCCAATTATATTACAGTTAATGAATAATACAACAACAAAACACTTTCTTTAAAAAGGCATCTATAAGGAAAAGCAGTAAGTAAGCACTGTTTGATATGAATTTAGAAAACATTATCATGTATTGTTTGGCAACCATGGAAAGGGTATTTCACATTTATTTATAACTGTTACTGGGCATGGCTCTGGTCTAAGCTTTATTCCATAAAGAAAAGATAAAGATATTTAAGTTCTAATCATTTCTTTATATTAAAATGATGTTTATTACATTGTAAATTTAGAAAGTACCTTACTAATACCTTTCAAAATATATTTTTAACTAAATGTAAATATCTCGACTCTTTGAAAATGATGCCAAAACATTTTGTTTTGATTTCAATGATTTTGTTTATGTTTGGCATAATATTATAAGTGAAAATGTTAAAGCAAAACTCTTATTAAGTTCAATTTTTGCTGCATGATTCATATTTATTAATGCTCAAGTTATGCCACTTTTTTAGCTAAATATTGTTTGTACATAGGATAACTTTTAAAGGATTATAATGAGTGTGTTAAAATTTGGCATGTAAGAATGTTATATTAAATTTTATACCGAATTCCTTAAATTGCTTATTCTGAGGTATATAATGCTAAAATCAAGTGATTTGAATCATTTCTTTGGGGATATCAGTTAAACATATTTTGATTTTGTTCATCTTCGCTGGTATCATATGGCCAAGTTTTGTTTTCAGCAAATATTGATTGCAATTTTATGTTTGGCTTGTATTGAGAATGAGTTAAGTTTATATATTTCATGACTGTTCTTTTGTTGTGATTTTCTCGTGATTGGAGTAATGGAATCTCAGCTGCAGTTACTGTTGTTATATCTTTGACTATTCAAAGAATAGTTGGGCTATCTTTCTCAACTTTACAGGGGATTTTAGGCTTCAGTATTTGTGAATCACTTTGGTAAAGTTTTACATGCAAAACTACTGATGGTATCCTCTTGAAATGTCTTTGTAATCATAATTTTTGGTCACTGTCCCTAGGATTGTATTTTTAGTGAAATATTGCCCTTTGTGATCAAACTCTTTATAAAATATAACTAGTCATATATTTTTTGCTGATCCCTGGGAGATGCTTTGGTAGTTCAGCGCGGAGGAAGGTAGTCTAGTACTGGTGTAACTCTCCAGGAACGATGGTTAGGGAACTACTCGCCTATATGACTGAAATACTGTTGGGAAAAGGCATAAAATCAAACAAACAAACAATATATTTTTTGGAATGAAATTTTCCTACATAAAATCTTCCTACATCAGCATGGCTTCTAGCTCTCCAGCACTGAATATATCAAGTGATCTGACATACATTACTGAAAGCTCTTGTTTCTTGTTCTAATTAGGTTCTCAGCATAATTTGTTTCTTTATGGTCAATGTGATTTGCTGGTAAACTGATATGCTCACAAATTTAAGTTAGATGAAGATTAGATTTTCTTCAGGTCAATAAATGCAATAGAACCAATGAGATTTCGACAGCCTCTTTGTCAGGATAAATCTCTAAACCAATTTATAAGATTATAAAAGATAGTGCTTTAACTCATAGCAGACAAGGGTAACCTGCTACCTTATCAGTGAGCAAAATATTCCTCAATAACGTTTTTATTTCAAGTTTATTAATAGTGGATCCTGCAGTGAAGATTTTATAGGCTGAACAGAAATCGTAGAATGACTGTAGGGGGTACATGCTGAGTGCGGATCAACCATGAACCTATTTTCTAAGATTATTATTTTTGTAATTTGACATATCTTTGAATATGAACATGATGACATGATTAATTAAAACTATCATCCATTTTTCAGTTACTAAGGATATCTGGTTTCAATTGGTTTTAACCAAATTAATGACAAAGTAATTGATGTGGTATTTCCTGATTGTATACAAAAAAGCAGTATTATGGCAATAGTTTATATTTTTAGTATAACTGAAATTTAAAGTGTAGGTAAGTGTTTTGTTTATGCAGTATAATTACTGATGTTTTACAGAGACTTGAAAATGTTGCAGTTTTTAGCTTGACTATTCAAAGAATAGGGAGAGCTATAATTGTACTCACCCAGGTGCAGCATCTGCTTCACACTTTGGTTAAGTTTTCATGGTATGTCCAAAACTACTGAAAGGAATAGGTTGAAACTTCACACACTCTTTTAAGAGCTCAAGAAGAGGTCAATATCCAAGGCTCATAACTCTAACAGTGATTTTGACAGAATTATGGCCCTTTTTAAACTCACAAAATTCTACATTATCAAAGCCAATTCTTGACTGAGAATAGTCTAGCACCCTCACAGTCCTGCCAACACCTCTTGTATTTATATATAAGAATTAGTTATATGAAAAATTTAATATGAAAAGAATATTTTGACAGTTGTATATTAGTCTGAAAGAACATGTTTTGACAGTTACTGATGATGGGCGTTCTTAGAGATATCTGAAACCTAAAGGGAGTTTTTTTGACAGTAAAAAGAAACTGAAAAGGAGAATTTGACAGTTTCATGAAACTGAAGGGGAGAATTATGATTATTATAACTGTACATACATTTAACTGATGAATAGGGAGACATATTGTACTATTATATTGTACTGATATATAAACACCTTCATTAGATTGTATGTATATATATTTCAGGACACCCAGATGTTTGGGCGAGTGTTGTAGCAGGTAGACGTCCATCTTTCCCAGATAAACCTAAACCTAGGCATGTTCCAGGTACCACAATGACACTACATGCTCCACATCATGATCAGCTCTCATGGCAACACAGTCTGTCAGGGCAAACTGGGCATGTTCCATCTCCGGCAACCATGACAAAGTCACCATCATCTCCAGCTTCTATTGGTAGCAAACATTCCAACCCATCACCTGGTCAGGTATCTCCAGGGCAACATGTGATATACCCATGGTTTCAAGGATGTCATTCAAGTGCAAGTGATGGTAATCTTTTACAAGGCCAAAATTTAGGGTATTTATCCCCGGGACAGTTATCTTTTTCCAGTCATTCACCTCTCCCAGTTTTACCTAATGTCGAGGAAGATGACATTTATCACAATGTAAATTCTGAAATATCAGATATTGCTCAAGGTCAAACATCAAAGGTCACTTTTTCTCTAACAGATTCATCTTCATCTAAAAGTACAGAGAGTGGGTTTAGTGAGCATGTTGCTAAACAGACATATGCGTCAGTGTGCACAAAATGTAAAGATACGTTTGATGAAACAGACAAGCATAGAAACAGGGAAGAAAGGCCAGGGACTATAAGTGTGTCAGAGGTTAGTGAAAGAGGTCCAGGTCACAGTGAAAGAGGTCGAGGTCACAGGGGTCAGATATATAGACAAGAACATGACAACAGGGGATATGAAAATAGAAATAGAATAGGTAGGTGGAATACTGGTAATAGGGGTAATTTTAGAGGAAATAAATCAAACAAAAGTAATTTTCAACAATTTTCTCAGGAAAGAAGTGATAATTATCAGAGAGGTGGCAGACCAGGTCGTTATAGAAGAGGTCATAGAGGTAATTTCCAGGGTAACAGAAATAATAGAAACTATTTGGATAGTGAGAGCAAAGGTGTCAGTAGTGAGCCTGTTCTTGAAAAGGAAGTTACTCAGTCTAATATGCCAGTGCGGAGAACTGTGAGTTCCCCTGACAAAACTAGAGATAAAGACATAACACATTTCACTTATGATACTGAAGATAAAAAGGTATCTTCAGATAAACATGAAGCCTGTGATAATAATCTTAATCAGTTATGCTCTAATTTAACATCAGATTTAGTAATTAATGACAAAAAAGGGCATTTAGAAGAGAGTGAAAATAATGTATTTGGTAACATCTCGGACAGCCCCAACCAATCAACTGGACGAGAGTGGACCAGTGTTAATAAGAAGAAAAAACACAACACTAATGCTAAAGACTTCCATTATTCTGTAAGAAGGGATAATAACAGTTCTGATTTAAGCAGGGGTAGGAGATATAGTAAAAAGTCAGGAAACCATTTTAAACAATTTGAAAGGGACCAAATATCTGAAAGGGGAAGAGAACATCATGGTGCAAGGTTCTAAAAGCCTCTATCATGTATAGTCATCAAATTTTGCATTTTATCAAATAAAATTTTGTAACTTAGCAAAAGGAGGCTTGTAATTCATCCAACTGTCTATCCATATGTCAGTTTACTTACAAAGCAATCGGTACAGTACTAGTCCGACATGTTAACCATGCTGTCTCAACCATTTATTGTCTTTCATGATAAAAATTCTGGGTCAGATTTTGATATTATGTAATTTCTTCGAAATGATTGAAAAGTTGATACAATTATGTTAAGGTGGTTTCAGGGAACAATAAGTAACAGTAAATCATGATTTTGTTGCTCTTTTGTGGCTATAAATTATCAAAGTTGACTAAGGTCAGCATCCTGTGTTTTTTGCCAAAACTATGTTATGCATATGTTCAGTGTAAAAATTACTAATTCAGATGAAATTTCAAATTTATTTAATATCTTTTATAAAACTGTTTATGATAAATTATATTTATTTTTAGTTTTTTTTTTATTAATTTTATAAATAACTTGTTGATGAACATTGAATAAATCATGGACAAAACTATTGGCTCTTTATTCTTTTGAGCTAAGCAACTTAATAATGAGCACTGCAATGCTTGCATAATATACTACTCCTCTGGTTTTGAAAGAATTAAATGAGGGAAAATGACTTGTTTGTATTTACCATAAATGTGTTCATATTAACAGTTTGCTCCTTTTTGAGACCAACAAAACTGAAATGCAAAAGAAGCCTTTAAGGCACATCTTCTAGGAATTAATGGGTGGCACATCCACAAACTTGATTGGTCCTTTCAGAATTGTAGTATTTGATTGGTAGTTAATGTAGGAAACTCGGAGCTTAATTAAGAAATACCTTATAATAATCAATTTATTTGAACTTGTATGTATGAATTGTCGTCCAACATGGTTTGGTGCATCCCAAGATGGTTTTCTATTACATTTAATGTGTTGCTATGGCTAAAAACACCTCAATCTGTCCTATTGACCTATCTAATATGTCCTCACAAAATCAATGAACTGACCAAAAGACAAGCGAGAGTTATAAATAGAAGCACTTAAGCATTATATTTTCATTGACCAATGGATGTATTGTTATAAAACTTACTCTTTTGTATCCTCAGTCATTTATACATGTAGCCCTTGATGAGTTATTGTGGTCACCTTGTGTTCATCATCAACATGTTACTTTAAACCTCAATTCCTAAACTGTTGTTCAATACTGACCAGACTATAGTATATCATTCACAGACCTGTGAAGAGCAATTACCTCTTCAAAACAACAATTTCAGTTATTTCCAAAGTACATGTAAGACATCACAATAAATTAAATTTCTTTAAGGCATCACCGCTGCAACAATCGGAATCTTTGTCTCTCAAAGGTGGTTGCTCTGCAGAGATCTTACTGTATAATGGAATAATCATTGGGTGGTCCTTTATAAAGAAATAATAAAAGCGTTCCACTCTGAAAGTGAAGAGCCATCAAATGTCAGGAATGATCATAAGGAGGTGCTTTTTGTGTCACCTCTATGGAGTAGTGGCGACATATAGGGATCACTTCTCCGTCGTCTGTCTGGACGTCTGTCCGTCCGTCACAAAACTTGTCCGGACTACTCCTCATAAACTACTGGTGCAATTTCATCCAAACTTTACAGGAATGATCAGTACCAAGTCTAGTTGTGCATATTGTCAGCATTTTCCAGTTCAATGATTTTTGTAAGAGTTATGGCCCTTTCATAATTTTTATTTTTAAAGTTTGTCCGGACTACTTCTTCGTATACCACTAATGCAATTTCAATGAAACTTTACAGGATTGATCTGTAGCTAAAGTCCTTGCGCATATTGCACGGGTTTTCCGGTTGAATGATTTTTGGCCGAGTTATGGCCCTTTGATAAAAAGGTGTTTTTAACCAGGTTTTCCGAAGGAAAAAACTGGTTATTAGATTGAGGTATGTCGGCGGGCGGGCGGGCGTAAACAATTTCTTCTGTGCGCAACTCCTTCTACATTTCTCAACGGATTTTGACCAAACTTTCACAGAAGCTTTGTCATCAAGTGCCCTGGCGCATATTGTCGGGGTTTTGCGATTGGATAATATTTGACCTAATTATGGCCCTTTGTTTTTGCGTAAACAATTTCTTCTGTGCGCAACTCCTTCTACAGTTCTCAACGGATTTTGACCAAACTTTCACAGAATCTTTGTCATCAAGTGCCCTGGCGCAAATTGTCGGGGTTTTGGGATTGGATAATATTTGACCTAATTATGGCCCTTTGTTTTTTTTCCTTATATAGAATATATAGTGAACAATTTCTTCTGTGCGCAACTCCTCCTATATTTCTCAACGGATTTTGACCAAACTTTCACAGAAGCTTTGTCATCAAGTGCCCTGGGGCATATTGTCGGGGTTTTGCGATTGGATAATATTTGACCTAATTACGGCCCTTTGTTTTTTTTCCTTATAAAGAATATATAGTGAACAATTTCTTCTGTGCGCAACTCCTCCTACATTTCTCCACGGATTTTGACCAAACTTTCACAGAACCTTTGTCACCAAGTGCCCTGGGGCATATTGTCGGGGTTTTGCGATTGGATAATATTTGACCTAATTATTGCCCTTTGTTTTTTTTCCTTATATAGAATATATAGTGAACAATTTCTTCTGTGCTGAACTCCCTCTACAATTCTCAACGGATTTTGTTCAAACTTACAAAGCTTTCACAGAAGCTTTGTCATCAAGTGCCCTGGCGCATATTGTCAGGGTTTTGTGATTGGATAATATTTGACCTAATTATGGCCCTTTGTTTTTTTTTCCTTATACAAAATATATAGTGAACAATTTCTATCTTGCGCAACTTCTCCTACATTTCTCAACGGATTTTGACCAAACTTTCACAGAAGCTTTGTTATCAAGTGCCCTGGCGCATATTGTCGGGGTTTTGTGATTGGATAATATTTGACCTAATTATGGCCCTTTGTGTTTTTTCCTTATACAGAATTATTAATATATAGTGAACAAATTCTTCTGTGCTGAACTCGTCCAACATTTCTCAACGGATTTTGTTCAAACTTTCACAGAAGCTTTGTCATCAAGTGCCCTGGCACATAGTTTCGGGGTTTTGTGATTGGATAATTTTTGACCTAATTATGGCCCTTTGTTTTTTTCCTTATACAGAATATATAGTGAAAACTTCTTCAGTGGCAATTCCTCCTACATTATTCATGTTTTACATTGCACATAGTTACATTGTTTGTTGCTTGTATTCGTATTTCAAATACAACATATTTATCTACAATGGTGATAATTGAAAACCTGGTTTCATGGCATTGCCATGTTTCTTGTTTTCTGTGTGTTGCCAGATACACAAAAGTTTGTCCGGACTACTCCTCATAAACTACTGGTGCAATTTTATCCAAACTTTACTGGAATGATCAGTACCAAGGCTAGTTGTGCTGTCTGTCTGTCCGTCTGTCACAAAACTTGTCCCCACTACTCCTCATAAACTACTGGGGCAATTTCATCCTAACTTTACAGGAATTTATGTGGCCACTACTCCGATCACTTCTCCGTCTGTCTCAAAACTTGTCCCAACATGAAATTGGCCATCATGAGGCGACACATGTGATCACTGATCGCTCTTGTATACTTAAAGGCCCATTAAGCCCCAAAAATGATATTTCTTTTATTTGTCAAAAAGTTACTTTTGTGATCACTTTACGTCCGGCGTCTGTCCGTCGTCCGTAAACTTTTACTTTAAATGACATCTCCTCATAAACCACTAAGCCAATTTCATCCAAACTTCACAGGAATGTTCCTTTGGTGGTCACCTTTGAAAATTGTTCAAAGAATTTAATTCCATGCAGAACTCTGGTTGCCATGGAAACCAAAAGAAAAAACTTTAAATATCTTCTTCTAAAAAACCAAAAGAGCTAGAGCTTAGATTTTTGGCACGAAACATCTTCTAGTGAGTGTCTACCAAGTTTGTTCAAATAAAAGCCCTTGGGGTCAAAATTGGCCCCGCCCCAGGGGATCATTGATTTTCTCTTTATGCATATAGTAAACACTTAAAAAATCTTCTTTTAAAGAACCCAAAGAGCTAGAGATAAGATATTTGGCATGAAACATCTTCAAATGGGTGTCTACCAAGTTTGTTCAAATAAAAGCCCTGGGGTCAAAATTGGCCACGCCCCAGGGGGTCATTGATTTTCCCTATATGCATATAGTAAAAACTTAAAAATCTTCTTTTAAAGAACCCAAAGAGCTAGAGCTACGATATTAAGCATGAAACATGTTCTAATGGATGTCTACCAAGTTTGTTCAAATAAGAGCCCTGGGGTCAAAATTGGCCCCGCCCTGGGGGTCATTGATTTTCCTTATATGTGTATAGCAAAAGCTTAAAAAAATAAATCTTCTTTGGAAAAAACCAAATAACTAGAGTTTAGATACTAAGCATGAAACATCTGCTAGTGAGTGTCTACCAAGTTTGTTCAAATAAAAGCCCTGGGGTCAAAATTGGCCCCGCCCCGGGGGTCATTCTTTTTCCTTATATGTGTATAGCAAAAACTTAAAAAAATCTTCTTTGAAAAAACTGAAATAGCTAGAGTTTAGATATTAGGCACGAAGCATCTTCTAGTGAGTGTCTACAAAGTTTGTTCAAATAAAAGGCCTGGGGTCAAAATTGGCCCCGCCCCTGGGGACATTGATTTTCCTTACATGTGTATTATAAACAAAAACTTAAAAATATTCTTTGAAAAAAACCGAATAGCTAGAGTTTAGATATTAAGCATGACACATTTTCTAGTAAGTGTCTACAAAGATTGTTCAAATAAAAGCCCTGGGGTCAAAACTGGCCTTGCCCCAGGTGTGTCATTGTTTTTAACTATATGTGTAAAGGAAAAACTTTAAAAAAAAATCTTTTAAAAAACCCAACGAGCTAGACCTTAGATGTTTAGCATGAAACATCTTCTAATGGGTGTCTACCAAGTTTGTTCAAATAAAAGCCCCGGGGTTTAAACTGGTCCCACTTGGGGCCTATATACAGGTGAGCGACTTCAGGGCCATCATGGCCCTCTTGTTTGTTTCCTGTTACAGTTTCCAAGAAGTTACTTTATCACGATATTGCTAGCCATTCTTTATATTTTGGAATTTAGTGCAGTTATAATATTTAAGTTCCGTATTTTGTACGGAAGTCAAAATACTACTTTGTTTACATTGTGAAAACACATGGAAAAAAATGTTCTAATATCTGAGGGTTAATGTTTCTTTAAATGTTGATGTCAATGATGCTTTATATATGTTACAGTCATGATTTGCTGAATTACCCGTCATTTTCTTGTTAGCTTGACTTTTTCAAAGAAAACAAGGAGCTATTGCTACAGTTATTCCTTTTGCTGTCCCAAAATTTTAACATTGGCCAAACAAATTTTGGGCATATTATGTTATACCCCCTGACATCTGTCAGTTAGCAATTTGGTTTCCGGAGCATAACTTTAGGTCCATTTTGCCCACAATATTCAAACTTCATAGGATGATTGTCCATATTTGGTAATAGACC